GCTCAGTGATAGAGTGCACACTTTTGTGTGGAAGGTGCTGGAGATGCTGAGTTCAAGCCCCAGTACTGGGGTAGAAAGAAAGCTGCCTGGGCTCCCGAGAGCTGGTAGGAGCTTCCAGATGTCTCTAGCTCTCTGGGAGATTTGAAGACCGTCTAGTTTATACAGGGGCTTGAGGGAGGACATGGACAGATTTTCAAATATGTTAGAAGATGCTGGAACTCATGAAAGGACTCCTTAAGACTGTTTCCTTTATCCTGAAGGAAGGATTGGGGGTTGAGTGTGACTGAACTGGGAAGTCTTAAGCCACGAGGTCCTTAAGGTGTGTGCTTGCCGCCTACATTCATCTGTCTCTGAAGGCTGAGGGACTTGGATGAGGAACAGGCTGGAAGTCTAAACCCCAAAACCAAGAGAGTTTTTAGGGAGACACGGTTCCTCTTAACTGACTCTTGGCTACATCCTGGGATTTTGGCACTTCTGAACCTGGGTAGCCTATGGGGACTTTGTGAGTTGCAGATGTCCCTAACCTGATCTCCTTGTCCCTTGGCTCTGCAGAGCTACCCTCCGCTTCTACCGTTCACTGGGATTCCAGAACCCTCAGAGTCTCTAGCCGGGGCAGGGAGCCAGGGCTGGGGCGGCCGTGGCTATGAGGACTACCGGCGATCCGGACTACCGGCACCTCTTCCCCTGTCTACCTGCGTCGTGGGCTTCGCCAAGACTGGTGCATTGAGGGGTGCAGCTCTGGGTCCCCCAGTGTCACTCCCTGCCCCTCTCACTGAGGCTACACCCCCAGCACCCCCTGCTCGTCCACCCCCGGGTCCGGGCCCCACTCCTGCTCCAGCCAAGGCCTCCCCGGAGGCCGAGGAGGCTGCACGCTGTGTGCACTGCAGAGCACTCTTCCGCCGCCGTGCGGATGGGCGTGGTGGTCGCTGCGCAGAGGCCCCAGACCCAGGTCGCCTGCTAGTGCGCAGGCTCAGCTGCCTGTGGTGTGCCGAGAGCTTGCTGTACCACTGTCTGTCGGACGCCGAGGGTGACTTCTCGGACCCATGCGCTTGTGAGCCAGGCCACCCGCGCCCTGCTGCGCGCTGGGCCGCTCTGGCTGCGCTGTCGCTGGCAGTGCCCTGCCTCTGCTGCTACGCACCTCTGCGCGCCTGTCACTGGGTTGCAGCACGGTGTGGCTGCGCAGGTTGTGGGGGTCGCCATGAGGAGGCTGCACGGTGAGGATCGTTGGGCTGGTTTGAAAATCGGTCTGAAGACCTAAAATGGAGGGTCCAGGACCCTGAACTCCGTACGAACCTAAAACCCAAACTTAGGTACGTCTGGAACTTGGAGCTTAAATGGATTTGAGAGATCCCAGATCTGGTACCTTGGACCCCAAACCTAGGACTAAGATCTCAGACTCAGCTTCATCAGGATGCCTGTCAAGTGGACCCAGGAGTCCTGAATTCTGGATTCTCCCTCCCTCTTCCCCACTGAGGAGACTCATGACATCTCCAAACATTGCATCTCAGAAGGCCCAGGAGCTTACACCCCTGAGACCCAGGGATCTTGGACCCTGACTCTCTGTCTAAATACCCAACCCAGACTCCAGGTCATACTTGACATTGTAAAAACTCATACTACAGCTCCCAAATTAGTCAGGAGTTGCTAAAACCTGACCCTTTATCAAATGACTTAGACCTTGAGACCAGAGGACCCAGGATCACCAGAAAACAGTCCCTGAATTTTCACTGGAGACCTGGTATACCTACATCTGGATGTTCTTATAGCCCAGGACCCGGAAACACCAAATCCTTCCGGGTTAGAGACACCAGGATGGTTTGGAATCACCAGATACTGACCTGAAGTCTACTCACTCCTGAGAGTCCACAGATCTTACCATCAGTTCATGTACAAGCGATTCACAGATTCCCACAGGCCCCAAAATGCACCAAAAGTCCTCAGATATCCTCAAACATGACCAAAATAATTTGGGAGGCCCTTTTCAGAGCTCAGCAAGGTCCAGATATCAGACACCAAGATGCCCTGGGAGCCAGGGCCCGAACACCTGCCCCTCAAGTCAGCAGTTCTGGAGAACTTGGGTCTCACGGATGGTCTCTGAGGTGCCGGTTACCCTCAGATGTATGCCTGAAGGCCACCAGCACTTTGGGCCCAGTGCACTGGTCTCAAGTGCTTAGATAGCCTTCCAGTTTCCCTGGGGCCTGAATTTTAAGAACCCAAATGTTCTGGAAACATTAGCTTCCTTCTACCTACGTTCCCCAACCAACAGCTGGGTAGGAGCCTGGATCTCAGGAGATGCAGTGGCCATGGTAATCCAGGCCTCTCATCCCTTGACTCTCAGCTCTATAGCAACTCCAAGGTGCTTTAAGAGCACCAGGTCTAAGACTCTGAGATACCAATCGACCCCTGTGTGCAGGATTCAAGCCCCCACAATCTTGAGATTGTTTTGGCCTGCCTGAGACCTTGGTCCCTCTGTACCAGGGATATTAGAGACAGGATGTCCCAGGGCCTTGGCATCTTTACACCCCCGAGTTTCTTGAACTCAAAGTACTTCTAGACTGATGAAGCCCCCAGATACCTCATCACCTGATCCCCCCGAGTCCTGCCATCCAGAGGTTCCTAAGACTGCAAAGTCCCAGCAACATCCAGATATCCTCTTTATCCTGGGAAAACACTTGCACCAGTGTGAATTCAGATTGCTGGAATCCTGGACCACCCAGCAGTTTCCTCTCCCACCTCTAGGGCCTGGTGTTGCCGCAGAGGATTGTACAAGCTCTCAGCTAAGCAGAGACAGGCAGCTGCAGGGGTCAAGCAGGGACAGCAGAGGAAGGCCAGCCCTTCTCTACTGTGCACACCTGTACCTTTGGGGCTGGCTATGGCTCCACAGAAGCCCCCATCATCCCTAGCCCTTGCAGATCACTCCTGCCATCAACCCCTAGTTCGTTCAGGTCCATCTCCTGTTAGCCTCCTCCATCTCGGTTGGGAGTTGCTTTGGAAAGCTCACACTGTTTAATGGCACTTCCCCATGCTTTCCTTCTGAAGAAGAGGGGTGCCACAGCCTCTCTTCCCTAACAATGGGGTGTCCACTGTGCCTAGGAACTGGTGTCCTGGATAGGGGAACCAAGGTCTCAGAGCCAAGACAGTCTTGATGGTTTATGGGCTTAGGACCTACATCTGGCCCTAAGTTCCTGGGAATGTGCACTTAACCATTCCTCATTACCTAGACTTGGGTGGCCTTGTGGGGATTCAAGGGATTAATATTTGTGTCACTTCCTTTAAATTATTAACTATTTATTGTATCCGGAACCTGTGATTCAGCTCTCCCAACCAGACCCTGGGATGGGTGAGAGAAAATGGGGAGGGGGGTGTCCCTCCTATCCCCACTCTGTTCGGCTCTCATCACTGTCAGACCCACCAGAGCTGAGGGCGGAGGAACTGGGGGCTGGGGCAGCCTGGGTCCCCATCCCCCTCTCTGTGCCTCGGTCTCCCCCCTTCCATGGTGAGTGGGGGGAAGCTCCATTCTTAACCTACCTCGTTTTGGGAAGGGGTGGGATGGGGGACCAGAGTGCTGTATGGTGCTGTGAGATCTTCGGATTAAGCAGTGGGGACTGGGGAAGGTTCCCTAGTCCCCATCTCCCAGTACCCCCTCTCCCAGGTCCCCAGCCCTGTTCCCTGCTGACACCCACCTCTGATCCATGATTACCTTTCACTGCCCCCATATCTGGGGTGCGTGGAGGGCTGAACCCTGGGAGCCAGGAAGACCTCAGACCCTGGAGCCCCCAATTTTCCAGCTGCTTGCCCCTCAGATTGGATGCTTGCCCCCCAGATTTTGGGGGAGGCACGCCAACATTAATCTTCCTGATCGTGATTCCAAGCCAGTCTGTGACCTCAATATTGTTAGTGTCAGTGCAGGCTGAAGTGGAGGGAGGATGGGGGGCCAAAGACCCAGCCTTGTCATTGGGGGAGAGGGGCTTGAAATCTGCTCCAAGAAATGTCTGTGACAGTGTCTAAGCCTGGTCTTTATTTGCATTGGCGCGTCCCCTCCACTTGCTTACCAGAAGTACTGGACTCCTACCGTTCTTTCCCTCACCATCCTTTAGTCCCTAGTTGACCATCTAGCTAGGTTTTATTTGTCCAGTCAGCCAAGTACATTTACTAAACGCCTAACGTGTCAAAGCCCCGTAGTTACTGGTGGTGCTGCAGTGGACAACAAGCATTTGAATCAAACCCTGCAAAAGGTGAGGGGGGTTCTGTGGGTGTGTGCAGGGTTCAGCCAGCACCAGTCACTAAGGCAGGAATATATCTGGTAAGCTGGGAATGGAGTTAAGCAAGGGGAATCCTGGGAGAGGGGGGTGGAAAGGTGAGAGGGTGTGCCAGGCTTCCAGTGACATTGTATGGGCTTTGTTACCCTGAGCGAGTGAGAAGGAGCCACAGGAAGGCTCCCGAGCATGATTTGGATTTTCAAAGGCTAGTTGTAGCTGTATGAGGAAGGCCCCTGGGGGGACAAGCTGACAGAAAGCTCCTCCCTGTGGAGGTAGTGTGTGAGAGGGGAGAAGGGGTGGGGGTAACGGATGTTTTGAAAGAGTCCATAGATTTTTTTTTTAAAGGTTTTATCTGCATTTTATGAGTGATTGCTTGCACATGTATATGTATGTGCACCACCTGGTTACCTGGGGTCAGGTCCTCTAGAGCTGGAGTTGCGGCTGTGAGCCACTGTGTGGTTGCTGGGAACCTGGGTCCTCCATAAGAGCAGCAAGTGCTCTTACTGTCCCAGCTCTCCAGCCTGAGTCCATAGCTTTATATGGAGCTGAAAAGCAAGCTGGGAATGTAGATCAGTGGTAGAACACATGCTTAGCATGAGCAGTGGCCAGAGTTAAGGCCCCTGCACCAACGAAGAGGAGTCAAGGTTAGTGGCCCGAGTTTTTGGTAAGATTTATTTTAACTATTTGTGGGTACATGCATGTGAGCTGTAGTTACAAGTGGTTGTGAGCTACCCACACGGGAACTTGTGGCCATCTTCCTATGGGAACACAACCCTAAGCCACCAAACCTAGCTTTGAAACAGATTTATTCTTGTGTGTGTGTGTGTGTGTGTGTGTGTGTGTGTGTGTGTGTGTGTGTGTTCAGGGGTTCACAAAGAGGCCAGAAGTGCAGGGTGGGTCGTCTGGTGCTTATGAGCCTCTGGAGGTCAGTGCTGGGAACTAACCTTTGAAGGAGCAGCGAGTGCTCTTAACTGTTGGGCCTTGTCTCCAGTCCCCTGCTTGTTATTTACCTGGTGTTTTCTCAAGATGGGGTTTCTCTGTATCTCTGGCTGTCTTGGAACTCACTCTAGACCAGGCTGGCCTTGAACTCAGAGAGATCCGTTTCTGCCTCCGGAGTGCTGGGATTAAAGGCGTGGGCCACCACTGCTTTTATTATTCTTTACTGAGGATGTATTGAGTCCTACATAACTTTTAAGCAACTTTTACATAGAACTGATTAATCCTCACTGATGCCTTTAAGAGTGAGTATTTGCAAGGCTGGGTGAGGCACAAATTTGGTAGTCCCAGACCTTGGGAGGCAGAAATAGGAGAATCTTCAGTTGAAGGCCAGCCTGGAATACATAGTGAGACCCCATTGGGGGAAAAAAAAATAGAGGCTGGAGTGACGGCTACATGGTTAAGAGCACTTGGGTTTGGTTCCCAGCACCCACATGACGGTTCACAACCATCCGTAACTCTTAATTCCAGAGGATCATAGGCACAAGGCACACACTAGGTTCACATACACACGTATGTGAGAGGCAGGCAAAACAATCATGCACATAAAATAAATTTCAAGTATCATTACTCGGACCCCAATTACATAGATGGAAAACCAATTTGGCAGGAACATGGTCTGGTTAAGGGCGAAGTCAAACCCAAGTCCTGCCTGCCTGCCCCTCCCCTCGCACGCAGTTTCTCAATGGCGCCTGCTCCTTCTTTCAAAGACCTAGAGAGGCAGAGGATGAGCAGCACAGGAGGCCAGTGTGATGTGGAAGGAGGGTCTACCCGTAGTGGGAGAGTGGGTGTGCGGGTGTGCTGACATTCTAACCCTAAGGTGAAAGGCACCAAGATGGATGAGCTTTGCGGTCTGGGGTGATTAAAGAGCAAAGGGCAGCCAGGCGTGGCACACGCCTGTCAACCAACACAAGGAAGGAGGAAGCAGGACCAAGAGGCCAGCCTGAACTACATTACATACCGAGACCCTGCCTCAAAAACAAAGAATTTAAAAAACAGAGAGTGAAAAAAAAAAGAGAGAGTGGAAAGGAAAACAGGTTGCCTTTTGCTTTTATGTTCCCGAGAGCAGGGACACTCAAGCGTCCCGCGACCTCGGGGATCCTAATCTCAAGCTGTGAAATTTACAACCCTGGACAAGCTACCTGAGGGGCGCGCGTGGCGGACTGCCGAGCCAATCGGAGCGCCGAAACTCCTTCGCACGAGAATGTGATTGGATAGAGGCTGGGGGGGCGGGAGGAGGCACCCTCGGGGCGGAGCCTGTCCCAAGCGGAAGGGGGTACGCGCCCGGGGTCCCCAGGCGAAGCTGCGATGGATGGGGCCACGGTGGCCGGCGACCTGCTGACTTTGGGGTAAGGGGTTCGGGGGATACGGGAAGGGCGCACTCGCCTCGGGACGCGGACGCACAGGGACTCGCACTGACGTGCGCCCCGCCGCAGGTACGGTGCCCTCCCGGAGGCGGCGGCGTCTCGGGGCCCCGCGTGTGCGGACTTCAGGGCGCTGTGCGCGCGGCTGGCGGCGGAGCTGACGGCTCTGGGAGCTCTGGAGCGGCGAGAGGAGGGCACCGCAGTGCTGGGCGCTGGCCATGGTGCGTGAGGATCTGGGTGGACGGCGGGTGGAGGCGCGGGACTCGCCGCTCCCTGATGGCTTCCTCCTCCCGCAGGCCCCGAGTCAGAGGAAGAATTCCTGCGGCAGTTGGCCGGCCTTCTCCGGGCGTTGCACTGCCCGGATCGCGCGCTCTGCGGCGGAGACTGCGCCACCGTGCTGCGGGAGCCCGGCGGCGGCCTGCGCCTGCTGCGTGAGCCTGGAAAGCCCCGGGAGGCGGGAGGGGGCGGGGCCTCGGGACGGGGGCGGGGCCTCGGGACGGGGGCGGGGCCTCGGGACGGGGCCGGCTCTGAATCTGAGACTGGCCTCCTCCGGACCGCGGTGGCGGGGCGGGGGTCGGATTAGGGCTGGGCTGGAATTCTGACGAAGGTCTCTGAAAGCTTTAATGGGTTGAGTGAGATGGACCGGTGGGATGGTTCTGAAGTCGGCTAGAGGAGGAGGAGGAGCTGCAGCCTTGAAGTGAGCGAGGCTTACTCTGGGGGAGGAGCCAAGGTTTTAGCTGAGCAGGGATCTGCTCCTATTTTTAGGGTTTCTTTGCTCCGAGCTCCAGGCTGCCCGCCTTTTGCGTCTGCGGCTCCGGCTAGATCCTAGCCCTGTGCAGTCCTGTGGAGAAGGGACAAAGGAGGGAAATGGCGCGGTTCAGGAGCTGATGCTAACTCTTCAAGCACTGGGGCTCCCTAAACCCGTGCGTGGAACCCTGGCCAGCCAGCTACTTCGGGAGTTTCACAACAAGGTAGAGAGACAGGGTCCCCTCTTGAGCTACCTTACTTGGGGAGAGGATTCTGTCTTCAAAACTATCTCTAGAAAGAATGACCCAATGACCGGGATAGTTTTAGCACTCTGGTCACCATGTGTTTTAATATGCTTTTTTGCTGTGATAAAACACTGACCGAGACCAGTGGAGGAGGAAAGGGCTTGTTTCCGTTTACAAGTTACAGCCCATCTTGAGAGAACTCAAGGCAGGAACTGAAGTCGAGACCATAGAGGAACACTATTTACTAGCTCATTTCTGGCTTGTTTCAGCTACCTTTTGTGTACAGGCCAGGTCCATCTGCCCAGGGATAACACTGCCCACAGCATGCCAGGCACTCATACATCGAATAGCAATTAAGAAAATACCCCAACAGGCATGCGTACAGGCCAATCTGACCGAGGCAGTTCCTCAAATGGAGAGTCCCTTTTCTCAGGGCTGTCTAGATCTGTGTCAGGCTGACAAAAAAAATTAACACTATTGATGCTTCTGAGGCCCTGGGTTCATGTGGCTGAGGGGCACTGGAGTACTTCCGAAGGTCCATCCTGTTTGTGCCTTCTGATGGTTTCTTCCACCAGATCTCTGAGCTGCTGCCTTCCCTGCCCCCAGAGTCCATGCAGCCCCTCCTTAGTTCCCCACTGGATGCATCACAATGGGTAAGAGCATGTGTAGATGGCTGTGAACAGTATCCTTACCCAGACATGGGACCCTTGGTGTGACCGTGGCCTCTTCTTCCAGGAAGCCCTGGAGTCTCTGTCCCAAAGCCTGACAGAACAGTACTGCTGCCGCCGCTGCCTTCTTCTGAAGCGTCTGGACCTTACAACGTCTGCTTTCCACTGGGGTGACCGTGCAGAGGTGTGGGGACCTTAGCAAGAATAAGCAGGACATTGGGATGCACAGCTGCAGGGCAGAGGCTCAATGGCGGGCGTTATTACCTTCTTGGGGAATGCTGAGGCCCGGACTATTCTAGAATTCCTTCAAGATATTATTTTTTTTATTTGATGTGTTTTGCTTATATGTGTATATGCATCATGTGTGTGCAGTCTTCACAGAGGCCAGAAGGGTGTGTCAGATCCCTTCAAACCAGGGATGGAGATGGTTGTGAGCCACCATGTGGGTGCTGGGAACTAAAGCCAGGTCTTCTATAAGAGCAGCAAGTTCTCTTAAGTGTCAAGCCATCTCCAGCCCACACTTTAGAATCTTACAGGGTTCAAGACTTCTAGACTCTCAGGGCCTCAAGAGCATTCTAGAATGCCCAGCTCTCAGCTGGGAGTGTCCTCAGAACTATTCCCCTGTGTAACAAAATGGACAGTTAAGACTATCTGTTGGTTTTATGTTGCCAGCAAAAGGTACCAGCAACTGGATGCTTTATAAGGAAAATCAGGTTCATTCTGGCTTATAGTTTTGGGGGCTGAAGCACCTGCAAGCTTGGACAGGTAGTGGGATTTGCATGAATTGCCTCCAGGGTCAATGCCCTGTAACCTTGATATCATCACCTACGCTCTATCTCTTATAAGGTCAACCACTTTTAAGATTTTGGTTTTGCCTCTTAACTTGCCACATGGCTGAGGATGGCCTCAAACTCCTGGTCCTTTAGCTTCTGTTTCCCTAGTGCTGAGATGACTGTTCTTGCACCACCGTGCCCAGCTGTCTGTCACAGCACGTGTACCTTGGTGAATAATCCCCTCCGAAGCATACAGAGACCCTGAGCGGGGATGAGCTTTGGGCACCTTCTCCATGAGTGAGTGCCCTTCCCCCCACTCCAGGCCCAAGGAGAGGCCATGAAGGCAGTGCTATTCCCAATCCGAGGACTTCTGACTCCAGAAGCTGACGTCTCTGTTGCACATGTTCTGGCTGCCCGAGCTGACCTTTCCCGTCTGGTCCCAGCTACCAGTGTGGCTGCCCGCCGAGGGACCAGCTGTGCCATCAATAAGGTACCTCAGGCAGGGGAGAGTCTGGGCATCCTTGGCCTTCAGTTTGACCTTCTGGGGTTTCTCCTGGTCCAGTGTTCTCCCTGGTTCCTGGCCTCTAGACTCAACTGGCCTCAAACTAACCACTCTCCATAGTAGTTGGAGGGAAATTTTCTAATTTTTTTTTTAGATAGTCTCATGTAGCCCAGGCTAGCCCTGTAGCTAACTCACTCTGTAGCCAAGAGGTTGGCCTCGAACTCCCAATCTTCCTCCACTTCCCAAATGCTGGAATGATGGGGTGCACGAGCACACCCAGCTCTTTTTTTTTTTACCTATTGGAACTCCAGTCTAATCAATTCTCAGGTGCTTATGGGTGATGTGCCAGACCGTGGGGGGCGCCCAGGTGAGCTGGAGGCGCCCATGCCGACCTGGAAGAACCGAAGGGAAGATGGAGGAAGGGGGAAGGCTGGCCAACAGCGCTGGGGGCGCAGAAAGAAGAAGAAGTAAAGGGTCTTGGAGGGTCGGTCGGTCGGAGGTTCTATAGGTGCTGATGCCGCTGGTAATCTTTAAGAGTCACTTTTAAGGTTTTCCTTGGCACCTAAGCCCGGCATCCCCTGTTGTAGAGGCCCTAAACCTCTCTACACCCACCCGCCACTCAACACTATGAACCATGTTGTCTGAAAAATAAATTTAATTCTTTTGATGGTTATAGGATCTGTTTCTGGAGGGACCAGCTCAAGGGTGTGTGGGTTTGTGGAGGGGCAGGGGGATTGCTGCCCCCAGGTCTGGATAAGCCTTTTGCTTTTCACGTGGGTGTGGGGAAAGACACACTGAAGCATCAGACAAACACTTTACAGGGGCTGGGCAGCCGGGACACGACGGGATAATACAGATGAACATCTGCCTTTTGCTAGCTCTTCCTGGTGAGGAAGAGCAGGCGTTTAACAAGATAAATAGGTGAAATGTCTAGTCTGCTAGAGGACCAAAGCCCCACAGAGGGAAGTAAAGCAGGAAGGGAGGTCAGAACGTGGATGTGTGACATCTCTCAGGTCAGGAAGCCTCGTCAAGGGGATGTCACTTGAGCAGAGCTCTAAGGCAGGTGAGTCACATAGACCTCTGGTAAAGAGCATTCCAGATAAAGGGAACCTCCAGTGCAGAGGCCCCGGGGCAGGAGTACTTTGGGAATGTTCTAGGAACATAGAGGCCAGTGTAGGCAGAAGAGGGTGGGTAAGGAGGTAAGATGTGGAAAGGGGAGACAGGTGGTGGGGACAGGTCTTGCAGAGCTTTGTAAACCACAGGACCGGGTTTTACCTTGAGCACGGTGCGGAAGCTCTGAGCAGAGGAAGACATTTCCTGCCCACACCAGCGTTTCTCCTGACACTGGTTAGGACTCTGTCCCCTCCATTCTCATAACCGCCAGACACGTGCCAACAGTCCTCGTGGTCCACTGGTCCAGAGCTTCATTTGGAAACAGTGTGAGTCTGGCCTCCCACATTTTGAGCATGAAGCTTAACCTTACTAAGCTTTAGTCTCCTTATCTGGGAAGTGGGGGGTTGGGGAGATGACACGGCCCGAGTCCAAATTCATCCAACACCGAGTCGCAGATGCTAAGTGAGGGGGGAGGAGTATGACTGACAGTCGGTGCAGGGTAAAAGAGGATGGGTGCTTTGTCAGAGGCAGTGTGGGTGTGGATGAGACGGTGGTTCGGGAGTGAGGGAAAGGACTCCAGATGCTGTTCAGGCACTGGGCTTCGAGGAAGCGTTGGACGATGGAACTGGTGCTGGGAAGGGCACCTGGTAGGAGGAAGAATACACAATGAGGGGCCCTTCATTTCTCTAGGTGACAGTTCACAACCAGGACCAGGGTCTCACTCAGACTGTGGCTAAACGAACAATACTTCCAGATGAAATCTCTGCCTTTCAGGAGTGGAAATTGTTCCAATAATATTTATTGTAGCGTCTGACATATTTGGCCTTATTTTTCCGTGTGTGTGTGGTGTGGTGTGTGTGGTGTGTGTGTGTGTGTGGTGTGTGTGTGGTGTGTGGTGTGTGTGTGTGTGTGTGGTGTGGTGTGTGTGTGTGTGTGTGTGTGTGTGTGTGTGTGTGTGAACGCGTGCGTCATGTTCCATGTGGATGCTGCTGACCCTGACCCTGGAGAGCATGCCAGGGACTCCTGGGTAGGCAAGTGCTCTTGGCCTTCTTCTCACTTTTTTTTGGGGGGGTGGGGTTAGGGGTGGGGTGGGGGGAGACAGGGTCTCTCCCTGTGACGGTCTAACCGGGATCCTCACCATGTAGGCAGGCCATCAAGTTGTGGCTCTTCTCCTTTCTCGGCCTCTTCAGTGCTAGGTGTATAGGTTTGAGTAACCATGCCTAACTTTGTCTCCCCCCATCTTTGTTTCTGTGCTAGCCGCTACCCACCCTTGTCACCTGAGTAGATTATGACTGCTATCATTTCTCTGTCAACACTGAAAACGAGTCAGTGTCCACCGGGCATGGTGGCTCATGCCTTTAATCTCAACACTCTGGAAGGGAAGGCAAGATGACGTTTGAGGCCAGCCTGCGCTACAAAGTGAGTCGGTTAGCTTTTGCCGTCTTGACACAAACTAGAGTCACCTGGGAAGAGGGACCGTCAACTGAAGAACTGCTTCCATCCAATTGACCTGTGGACATGTCTTGATTAATGACTGATGTTCTCTCCTTCAGTTCCTGCCTCCAGGGTCCTGCCTGACTTCTTCCAAAAACTGAACTATGCAAGTCAAACAAACCCTTGCTCCCCCAGGCTGATTTTGGCCAGTGTTTTATTACAGAGAGAAAGCAAACTAGGACACATAGTGAGACACCGTCTCAAAAAATTTTTTCCCTTTTCTAAATTAGGTCTCTAACCTCCCATCCAGGTGACTGTGGATTTCTATATGGTTTCACTTTTCCGTGATTCCCAGATCTGTCTGGTTTTTCCAGGCAAATGGCCTGCCTCTCCTGGATCCAGCTAGGGACTTCTCCTTACCATCTCTGTCTCCCAGGAAGAGTGTGAGGACTCCGTCTGGGTCCAAGCATGGCGAAGGTGGCAACCAGACTCAGCATCCGGAGAGAGTGTATAGGAGAGATTTTCCTCAGAGTCTGTTTGTGGTGTGATGGGCAGAAGAGATGTGACTAGGACAGGAAGGACTCCGTGACCTCAAGAATGAACCCCATCCTCTGGGCCCTCCTCCCAGGTACTGTGCTAGCCAGGTCTTACCGCAGCTGGCACGAGGGTGTGGTGTGGCTGGCACAGGCGCTCCTGGGGGACCAGGGTCGCCCTTCCTCTCCGGCCTCTTCTTACACTCCGCTCTCACTTGGCCCCTGCAGTGTCTGTGACAACACAGCCCGCAGTCTGGGGATGGGGTGGGGTGAGGAAGGAGCTATTAAATACCTCGTTCTTCCAGCCTGCAGGTCGCAAGTCCCTCCCTGTCACTTACCCCGACAACGATAACCTTGCTTGGTGACACCCCAGAGCTGAGGGAAGAAAGGAGAGTGGGTTAGCGAGACTAGAGGAGGAGCATGGGAGGGAGAGGACGGAAGCCAACAGGGTTTGAAATTTCCGAAGATTCTGAGACTTCACCAAAATGATGGGGGTTTGGAGATGATCTCAAACTCAGGGAATTGTGTAGAACCGGGCAAACTTCTGAGTTAACAAAAGTGTACATTCTGTGGGTGGGGGCTGCTTGTGTCATTCACGGTGTTTCCAGACCCCAAAACTGCCTGGCTCATGGACTGTGTCAAGTGCAGACCTAGCAGTAAATACATGGTGAGATCTGTGAATTTGTCTAGACTTGATGGTTGAGATTTGTCCACTATTAAGAATTTGAAGCCAGGTGTGTGTTTTCGGAAGACTGAACCCAGGGCCTTGTACATGGCAGGCAAATGCTCTACCCTTGCCCTAGCCCTATAAAATGAATTTGAAGCTAGCCTAAGCTACATGGGAAGACTCTGTCTCAAAAAGCCAAAATCTGAGGGAAAACAAGCAAAAATAAAAGATGTCTTTAATTTGGAAATGAAGAAAGATTTGGATGGTCCGGGGTAGAAGGGTCAGAGAATGATTTTTGGGACCAGTTTTTCTATGTAGCCCTGGCTGGCCTGGAGCTCCACATGTAGACCAGGCTGGCCTCAAACTTACAGAGATCTGCCTGCCTCTGCTTCTTAGCTGCTGGCATTAAAGGTGCACCATCATACCATCTAGAGACTGATGGTTTGTTTGTTTTTTTGCTGTTCTTTGAAAAATAATTTGAGTAACTTCTCTTAAGATTCTGTATTACTACCCAGCGTGTGTGTCTGTGTCCGTTGTGTGTCTGCACACATACACATGCCACAGTGCATGCTGATGTCAGAGAACAGCTTTGTGTGTCAGTTCTCTTCTTTCCACAGTGGATCCTCTGAAACTGGAATCACAGGTAATTGTGAGCTGCCCAATGTGGGTGCCAGGAACCGAATCCAATCCCTCAGCGAGGGCAGCCAAGTGATGTTCCCTGCTGAGCCATCTCTCTGGCTCGGCTAGTGTTTATTTATTTATTTATTTAGGTTTTCCAAGACAGGGTGTCTGTGTGTGTGTAGTTCTGGCTGTCTTGGAACTCACTTTGTAGCCCAGGCTGGCCTCAAACTCAGAAATCAGCCTGCTTCTGCGTCCCGAGTGCTGGGACTAAAGGCATGCGCCACCACGCCCAGGTATGTTAGTGTTTTTTAAGACAGGGTCTCATATAGCCCAGGCTGGCCTCAAACTCCTGGATTCTAGCACACTACCACGCCCAGTGCAACCTACCCAGGTTTGCAGGTGATCCAGTTTTTGGAAATTGCTCAGGGCTTTGGATAGTATTCACAGCTTGGCCACTGTCTGGGTGAAGATTACCTGCTATCACGCAGAGTTTGGCGAGTGCACAGAATATAGGAATGCCAGTGTTCGGTGCTTATATAAACTATGAACTATCAGGCTGGAGCATTTCTGGAAGTCTCCCCCACCCCACCCCCACCCCACCCCCACCCCCACCGTCCCAAGTTAGGTTGGGAGGAGCTAATCCAGGGGAGACAGGGCCTAAGGGTGCTAACAGGGCCAGATGCTCACAAAGCCACTGCAGCTGTGACAGAAGGCAGGCTTGCGGAAGGTGACCTCATGGAAGGTGTGCAGGAAGGCCAGGCCCAGCTTGGAGCAGATGGCGCTGGCACGGAGCAGGTATTCCGTCAGCTCCTCTCTGCTGAAGGAGCCGCTTCTGCAAGGTAAAGGCCACACCTCAGCATGGCCTCTCGTGGCACATCCAGGATCCTTGTTTTCAGAAGATCCAGGAGCCAGGGCCTCTTACCCGTGGCGGGGAGGTGGGTGAAGCCCATGGCAGGCAAAGGGGAAGTTGCCTGACAGTCGCTCAAAGTCCTCCAGAGAGATGGTGCCATGGCCTTCTGGGTCGTAGTTCTTGAACACAGACTTGAGAGGAACACCGAGAGTAGAGTGAGGACAAGACACCCAGGCCCAGCCCTGTGGGCGTGGCTGCCTCCCCACTTCCTACCTGACATCCCTCCACAGGGACCCACAGTTCCTCCTCACCGCCACTAGCTGTTCCACATGCTGGCCCAGGGTCACACTGTCTGGCTTTGGTGTCACACCATGGGCCCACTCCAACACCAGAGGTGCTTTGTAGGGGGAGGGTGGCTAGAAGGACAGACACAGAGGGATACAGTTAGTCAAAGCCCAGGCTGGACCAGGGCGGGTCAGAAGGTCAGGAGTCAAGGCTCACCAGGCTCTTGGAACAACGTGGTTCCCGGGCATAAGAAAGCTCGTAGATCTCATCTTCTGTGTAGAAGAGATCCAGGGAGAGCTGGGGGATGGGCGAGGCAGTAAAGTTCCTCCTCCAGGTCTCTGCCTGGAGCCTGCCCCCACCCTCTTCTCGGACCCTTCTCCAGAGACTCCTGGACCTGTCCCGGGACACCCGTCACCCTCCATACTGTTCCCTCCACAATCCAGAAGTGCCTTGTTCCCACTGAGGCCTTTTAAAAACAAATTATGTATGCGTGTGTCTATGTGTCTGTATGCCATGTATGAGCGGGTACCCCACGGAGACCAGGAAAAGGCATTGGATCCCCAGGAGCTGGAGCTGCAGGTAATTGTGAGCTACCCATGTGCATGCTGGGAAGGGAAAGGAGATTCTCAGAACAGCAAGAGCTCTTAACCACTGAGCCATCTCTCCTCATCCATTCCCCACCCCCCTTTTTGAGACAGTTTCACCACATAGCCCAGGCTGGCCAGGAATTCACAATCTTCCTCTGTTAGCCTCCTGAATGCTGGGATCTCAGGTACACATCAGCACACCCCGCTAAGTTCTCCTTTAGAATATAATAACGAGCCACAGCCTTTCAGTTTCCACTGGGCCCTGACAATTATGCATGGCCTTGTCTCTGGGTCTGTGAACTCAACTTTTCCGTCTTACACTAGGCAACCTTCAGAATCTGTCACTGTCTCAACCTTCTGGACCCACGAAATGAGCACAGTAAGGACATTCAGTTGTAGGGTTGTAAGCTGAAGTTACTTGGAGGTTCTTTTGCATTCTTCTAAGGATCAGACTTGGGGTCTTGAACATGCTCTGCTACTCTCTGGGCATGCTGAACATGTCTGAATCATAGTGTGAGGTGGACAAAGGATAGAGAAATGTCACCAGTTTAGGGATAGCCTGATCTACATAGTGAGTTCTACACTAGCAAGGGCTATATAGGGAGACCCTGCCTCAATGAAACACAGCAAAATGCAAACAAAAAGTGTTCCACCACTGAATTACATCCTTAGCTCTTACTTGTGTGTGTGTGTGTGTGTGTGTGTGTGTGTGTGTGTGTGTGTGTGTGCAGGCACATGGGCTCACATGAATGTGGCTTCAGAAGTCAATGTTGGTTGCCTTCCTTAATTTCTCTCCACTTCATTATTTTTTTGCCATTGTGTCTGGAGACAGGATCTTACTTTGTAGTCCTGGCTGGCCTGGAACTCACTGTGTAGACCAGGCTGGCCTGGAACTCAGGATCCTCTTGCCTCTGCCTCCTGAGTTTGGGGTGCGGGTAATCAAGACCTGTCAGAGCTTCTGGTTACACCCCAGCTATGCTCACCATGGAAGCTTGAGACTTGATATGAGGAGCTCAGACACTGGGTCATTTTGTTTTGTTTTTCTTTCCAGAGACAGGAAAGAAAGGGCCTCTTTACCCAGGGCCTCTCACTTGCTAGGCAAGCACTCTACTACAGCACAGATTCCCAACTCCTTACTGTGGCAGGGATACAAAAGCCCAAAGCCATCCAGGGTCCTGGAGCAAGGGTCTTTGTGTTCATCGTGTTCCAGATAATGCTTTTTTTGTTTTCTTTGAGACACAGGTAGCCCAAGCTAGCCTTGACTCTGCAACAATCTTCCAGCCTCATCCTTTTGAGTACTGGGATTACTAAAGGTGTGAGCCACCACAGATACTACTTTGATTACTTCATATTACATTATTGATTGTTTCTTCTCAGCCACATTCTGAAGAGGGTCTTATTATTGTCCCAATTTTGCAAGCAATGAAATTTTTTCGGGCTGTGATCTGCCCGAAGTCACACAGCTAGCTAGATTCCTAGAAGCCATTGCTTCATGACTTCCATAGCTGGACTTCCTGCTACACACCCATAATCACTGCACCTGCAAGGCTGACGCAAGAGGGTTGCTGCCTGGCTCACAGACAGAGTTCTAGGCTGGTCTGAGCTACACTGTGAGACCTGATGTTAAATAAATACTAAAGGAAAAGGAAGACACTTAGATTGGGGATGGAGATGAGTGGAAACTTGCCTAGAACTCATCATGCAGGGGGTGTGGCTCAGTGGTAGAGCCCCTGCCTAGAATCCCTTAGTGAAGGGGTGGGGTGTGGCTCAGTGGTAGAGCCCCTGCCTAGAATCCCCCAGTGAGGGGGTGGGGGTACAGCTCAGTGATAGAGCCTCTGTCTAGAATCCCCCAATGAGGGGCTGGGGTGTGGCTCAGTGGTAGAGCCCCTGCCTAGATCCCCCAGTGAGGGGCTAGGGTGTGGCTCAGTGGTAGAGCCCTGCCTAGAATCCCCCAGTGAGGGGCTGGGGCATGGCTCAGTGGTAGAGCCCCTGCCTAGAATCCCCAGTGAGTGGCTGGGGTGTGACTCAGTGGTAGAGACCCTGCCTAGAATCCCCCAGTGAGGGGCTGGGGTGTTCCTCAGTGGTAGAGCCCCTGCCTAGAATCCTCCAGTGAGGGGCTGGGGATGTGGCTCAGTGGTAGAGCTCCTGCCCAGAATGCTCCAGTGAGGGGCTAGGGTGTGGCTCAGTGGTAGAGCCCCTGCCTAGAATCCCCCAGTGAGGGGCTGGGGTGTGGCTCAGTGGTAGAGCCCCTGCCTAGAATTCCCCCAGTGAGGGGCTGGGGTGTGGCTCAGTGGTAGAGCCCCTGCCTAGAACCCCCCAGTGAGGGGCTGGGGTGTGGCTCAGTGGTAGAGCCCCTGCCTAGAATCCCCCAGTGAGGGGGATATGACTCAGTAGTTGAGTGCTCACATATTATAAATGAGGTCCTAGTTTCAATTCCCAGTACAGCAAAAACCAAACCAATCAAAACTCCCTCATTCCATAACTGCCTATCCTGGTCCTCCAGAACCCTAGTAGCCCAGGGCTCTAAATATTGGTCCCCTGTGGTCTTCAGGGAACTTAGGCAACACAGGGCCCACACTTCACCGTCAGCAGATGTAGCAGGTCCTCGTTGGCACTGCAGGGGGGATGCTGTCCCTGGAGTAATGCCAGCTCCTCTAGCCGTAGGTAGAGGCTGTTCAGCTTGGGTAGGTGCAGGCGGCCATCTGGCAATCTGTCTGGATGGGCCTCATACAGGGACACCAGGTCCTTGAGGTGTACACCCAGTACTGGCAGCCGGAAGCCAGTACAGCTGGCCCAGATGCGGCGGTAGCAGGCATAGTTGTTGTGGGAGGCGAGGAGTTCTGTCAGCTCCAGAAGGGCCTGTGTAGAAAGTGCATGCTAGGGATAAGAATGCTTCTGTCCTGAGCTTCTTGGAGCAGGGATAGCAGTAGTCTCATTTGTGGACTCTGGAACCCGGAAATCTGGACCAGATGCACAAAGAGTGAGCAGCTGCCTAGAATCTACCAGTCAGGGGCAAGGTCATTGCTCAGTATATAGGTGACCCAGGAAGAAAGAATAGGGACAGCCAGGGAGTCTATGGAATTTGGAGGATAAAGGTCCTAAGACGGTTCCAGAGCCCTTGAGTAAGGACTGCCAGCAGTTAGGGAGTGATGTGTGAAGCTGCGGGGCAAGTTTTGGACTTTGGGGAGTCAAAGGGGGTTACCTTGGTGCTGTCGGGGCTCAGGTGGGTGTGGGAGTCCTTGAGCCTGGAGATGGAGCTATGGCACAGGCCCCCCGTGACTGCCATCAGCGTGTTGAAATTCTGTAGCTGGCGAAGCCCCTAGAAGGGAGGCAATGGCAGAGGTAGGAGGCGCCACGGGACAGCAGCAGGGGGAGTGCTGACTCGGGGTTCCAGTCGTGTGTGAGTACGGACCAGGTGTGAGCAGATGAGCGGGTTAGGGTGGCAAGGTGCCAGCATATACTGTGGGGCAGATTCGGAGAACAGACAGGTGTGTGTCCGCCATGTGCAGAAAATTCTGAAACGTATCAGGTGTCGGGCTTCTGGGAGTCAAACGACTCACACAGATGAAGGCGAGACTGTGCCTGTGAGTAGGGTACCAGGTAGAACTGAATGGGATAATACTGATGGAAGAGTAAAACAGATGTGGGACAAGCATGAGGTCCACAGGGCAGCACGGGAATTCTTTCTCTTTCTCTATTCTAAGCTTGAAGGGTGGAGGTCACTGTGGAGAGAGGTGAGGCAGGACCAAGCAGAAGATGCTCAGGTCAAGAGGCCTCAGGCTGATGCCAGACCCGCTCCCAGGTCTAAAGAGCTCAGCAAGATATAATTCAGTGGTAGAGCCCCTGCCTAGAATCCCCCAGTGAGGGGCTGGGGTGTGGCTCAGTGGTAGAGCTCCTGTCTAGAATCCCCAGTGAGGGGCTGGGGTGTGGCTCAGTGGTAGAGCTCCTGTCTAGAATCCTCAGTGAGGGGCTGGGGTGTGGCTCAGTGGTAGAGCCCCTGCCTAGAATCCCCCAGTGAGGGGCTGGGGTGTGGCTCAGTGGTAGAGCCCCTGCCTAGAATCCCCCAGTGAGGGGCTGGGGATGTGACCCAGTGGTAGAGCACCTGCCTAGAATCCTCCAGTGAGGGGCTAGGGTGTGACTGAATGGTAGAGCCCCTGCCTAGAATCCCCCAGTGAGGGGCTAGGGTGTGACTGAATGGTAGAGCCCCTGCCTAGAATCCCCCAGTGAGGGGCTGGGGTGTGGCTCAGTGGTAGAGACCCTGCCTAGAAACCCCCAGTGAGGGGCTGGGTGTGTGGCTCAGTGGTAGAGCCCCTGCCTAGAATCCCCCAGTGAGGGGCTGGGGATGTGACTCAGTGGTAGAGCACCTGCCTAGAATCCCCCAGTGAGGGCCTGGGAGTATGGCTCAGTGGTAAAGGACTTATTTAAGGGTGCAGGAGGCCCTGGGTTCAATCCCCAGTACTGACAGAAATAGCCAAGCAAGAGGAAGCAGAGTGTTGGAAGGCTCATAAGGAAGGGCGTGATCTGCTTTGGAGATACTCAAAGAGGCCAGACCACAGGGCTTCCCTTTTCCCAGAAGGGAGGGGAGGCTGACTCAGGGGGTCAGGGCCAGAGCCACTAGACTACGTCTCTTTGTATCTAAGTAGCACTAAGAGCTATACAGGATACAGTCACGGTCCAAAGACACCCAGGGGCCTGAGGACTGGAGATACAAAGTGAAGACGTGGAAAGGATCCTTTCTCAGCATTGGGGGATAGAATTTGATTTGGGGCTTGGGAAAAGGTGCTAATTCCGCAATAGAGAGCCAACAGGTGAGGCCAAGCATGTTTTGACTCTGTGATATCAAGGTCACAGCTAGATCCTACAAGTGCGGACTGGGTATGATTTGATAGGTATGGTGGGTGGGTACAGATGAATCATGCCACCACAGGATGGGCTGCTGGATCAATAGCCTGAAGCCATGGGCCGGAGAGATGGCTCTGTGGTTAAGAGCACTCTTGCAGAGTTCCATTCCCAGCACCCACATAGGGCAGCCCACAACCGCCTCCTGTATCTCCAGCATCACTGGCCTCTAAAGGTGTGTGCGTGTGTGCCCACCCACATAACTTAAAATAATTAAAAAATAAATATTGAAGAAAAAAAAAAAAGCCCAGAGCCTTGGTTAGCCACAATATGAAGGGTCAGGTAGCTGTCCCAAATCTATAGTCCCAGAAGCAAGTAGAAGGTGGCTGTGGTCCACATGCCTTTAGTCTCAGTATTTGGTTGGCAGAGGCAAGCAGATTTGAGGCCATCCTGGTCTACATAGCAAGTTCCAGGAGAGCCAGGACTATACAGAGAGACCCTGTCTCAAAAATAAAAGAGGGGGGTGGGTGGGACAAGCAGAAAGACTGGGTGGTCAGGCGGGGGCTTACCTTTGCCACATGAATGAATTTTTCCAGTACCTGGGCACGTTGTGCAGGCCCAGGACGGCTCAGCACCATGACCTGCACCCAGCGGGACACACTGTTGCTCAGACCCACAGAACCTTCCAGAGCGGGACAACCCCTCACTGAGCCCTGCAAAACATAGCCCCGAAGGTCTTGGGGCTGAGGATGAGATTGGTCAGAGGGGGTCATAGTACTCACATGCCATCTTCCTGGCAGTCCCAACCTCTAACACCCTAGCATAGTCTGATCGAAGGCTCCCCTCAGGCTATGGTAGGTCCCTGATGTCACCTTGTCCTTCTCCAGTCTGTGTGCTCATTATTATGTGCGTAACTGGGGCGTGGTCAGCAAAGGGAGGCGTGGGAAAGAGGACTTGAAAGCAGCTTCTACTTGTTCTGCTCAGTAATATGTACACGCCACTCATGTCCACCACACCACACAGGCACGCGCGCACGCACACGCGCATGCGCACACACACACACACACACACACACACACACACACACACACTCACAACAGCCCAATCTGGAAATCTGTCCTCTAAAGGAACCAGGTCCCCACTTTCCTCCAAAACAATGTCTAGATGTTAGCAGCTGATATATTTCAACATAGAACACATGCAGTTGCCTTTAGGGAAGTGAAATACAGCCAATGCAAAGGTTTTCCTCAGATACTGTTTACTCTAACCATGTACTGCTCTCTCTGGGGTAGGAACTGTTAATATCCTGCTTTAATTAAATTTTTTTTTTCTGTGTTGCCCTGGCTGTCCTGGAACTCACTCTGTAGACCAGGCTGGCCTTGAACTCACAGAGATCTGCCTGCCTCTGCCTCCTGAGTGCTGGGATTAAAGGCGTGCGCCACCACCATTTGGCTTCATTTTAATTTTTATCTTTATGTAGGAGGGAGCTGAGGCATGGTGAATTGACATGCTTGGTGGATACATGAGTAACTGATAAAATATTCTGAGCAAATAACTGTGTGATTCTTTTGCAATAAGTAGTTTTGTGACAGGGTCTCATGTAGTCCAAGCTGGCCTTGAATTTCACATGTCCTGCATTGGCCTCGCAAGCGTGAGGATTTTAGCCCCGTGCCTACACACCATACTGCAGTAAACATTTTCAACGGGCTTTCTCATTCTGTCAGCCACTCTACAAAGTAGTGTGGTCTCTAGCTTATGAATGGGCACCTAAGAGGTGGGGAAACTGGTTAAAAGCTAGGTAAGGAAGCGCTGAGGAGTGCTGGGACATAGCTCCTTGGTAGAAGGTTAGCCTAGCATGCGCAAAGCCCTGGGCTTCATCTGCAGCACTGCAGGAACCAGCTGTGTTGGCACACATCTGTAATGCTAGCACTCGAGATGTGGAGGGACCTGAGTTCAAAGTCATCCTTGGTTACATAGTTGGAGGCCGGGAGACTCCTGTCTCCAAACAACGGGGCAGGCAGGAAGTAAGAAATGAGTGGGGGATAAAGAAAGTTTTGCTGAAATGGCTCAGTGGATAAAAGGCCCTGAGCTGCATTCCTGGAACTCACAAGGTAGTAGAAAGAGAAGACTGATTCCTACAAGTTTTCCTCCAACCACATCTCACAAACACGATAAATAAACATGTAAAATAAAAATTTTTAGAAGGAAGGAAGGAGGTGATAGGATTTGAACTCAGGGCCTTAGTGCTCAGCCAGCTTCACTCATTGTGTCAGACCCTCCTGCTGCCACGTTAAGAGCGTTGGCCATGAGTGGTGGCACGGACCTTTAGCCCCAGTACTCAGGAGGCAGAGGCAGGCAGATCTATGAGTTCAAGGTTAGCCTGGTCTACAGAGTGAGTGCCAAGTCAGCCTGTGTTACATGGTGAGTCCCCATTCAAAAAAGAGTTTACAGTCTGGGCTGGGCATGTAGCTGGGTGTTGGAGAGCTAACATAGGCAAGACCCTGGGTTCAGCTACCGGCGCTGTTAGTGCAGTAACAGTAGCAGCAATAACAGTAAAATCTACAGCCCCTCATGGATGCCTGTGCCAGGAGCACACCCACCCCACCCCAACCCCATTCTGTTTCCTGCTTAGGGGCAGACTCACCGTGATGGCCTGGAAGGACCGGAACTCGAGGTAAGTGAGGTGCTGAGCCAGCTCCTCTGACTCCAGGTGATCGAACAGCAAGGAGACTTTGCGCTTCTTGCCCAGGCCTGGGCTGCTCATGAGAGGTGGGGGGCCGGGTCCTCTGGGACTCAGTCTGGAGGCCAAGATGGACAGGTTATTGGAGTGGCTCAAGAGTTGAGGGTTTGGGGGGACATGGAGTGTGTGGGCAGGATAGGGTAGGGGCAGAGGAAGAGGGTAGGGCTGGCTCACAGGTTGGAGGCATCTCCTAGGCTCCTTTGGGCCAAGTTGCCCTCCTGAGCGACAGTGGCCCAAAACCGACCTATGACTTCTTCCAGATGGGGCTCCTGGTGCACTACCTCAGGGTGAAGGGTCAGCCAGTACCTGCGAGGGGTCAGAGGCAGGAGATCAACTTGGGCTGGCAGTAGGTAGAAAGCGCTGTATGGGGGTCTGAAGCTAAGGAATTCTACACATGGGGAGCTAAGGGCATTTACACGTGTATGGGGTTTCTGGAGTCAGGATTTAGAGGGGTGACTCGGAGGATGGGGAGATCTCTAAGGTAGGACTTGGGGGGTCAGATTCTTAAAACAGGATAGAAAAAAAAAACCAGGATAGGAATCTTTCAAGAAGCCAGACAGCAGGGGTGCCAAGAACTAGGTGGGAGTAAGATTTGGGGAGTCAGGGCAATTCAGTCTTAGGAAGTGAGATGTCACCAGGGAATCGATGGGATCAGGGTCTCCCAGAACTGTGTGTTCTAAGGAGCAGGGAGCAGTGGTTTTTAAATTTTCTTGAAAGATTTATTTTCATTTTGTATGTATGAGTAATTTACCTACATGTATGTATGTATGTGTACCATGTGTGCCTGAAGAGGAGGCCAGAAGACAGCTCTGGGTCCCCTAGAACTGGAGTCATCAGCAACCATGTGGGTGCTAGGAACTGAATCCAGGTCCTCTGAAAGAGCAGCAAGTACCTCTTAACTGCTGAGCCATCCAGCCACAGGCAATGGTGTTTTAGCATGGGGTTCTTTTTTTTGTAACTTTTTTTTTTGAGATGGGGCCTTACTCTATAGCTCAGGCTAGCCTTAAATTTGAGGCAATCCTTTTACTTTTACAGGCTATCTCATGCATTACAGGATTACAGGCATGAGTTATCACACAGATTCTTAGCGTGAGATTTTAGAAAATGGGGCTGAGTGTATGTGGGGGGTTGGGCTGAGGGGTCTTTAAGAGGTATTTCATGGGATTGGGGGTCTTGTCCCAGCCCTACCTGACCAGGTGACAGATCTGTAGCTGTCTTAGCTCCTGTGCATCTTTGGCAGCCTTCTGGTACTTGAGTTCTAGTCAAGGCTGTTTTCCAGTATCCCATTTGCCCACTCCTCCGCGCCCTTCTCCCAAGAGTTTACAGGTCTGCCCTCAACCCTCTAGATGGAGATCACGATTATGGGAGGATATGAGGTCAGCAGCCGGGCAGCGAAGTCTGAGGATGGCAGCACCCAGCTGTGCATCATAAGCACCATCTTGAGAATGTGGTCCCCACGGCGTAGGTTGCCAGCTGAGTCTGGAGAAGGGAGGAGAGTCCGTCAGCCTGGGCCCCCGGCAACAGACCCATGGCCTCCAGAACTGGGTGGACAGGCTGCTGCAGATGTTGGTTCTACCTGTGATGTCCTGCAGGAACTTGGGCAAACACTTACGACTTTCTCATCTGTCAGGTGCATGGGATGGCATGAGTTTGGTTCCTTGCCTTCAATTATCTCAAGGCGTTTTCCTTGAACTTTTAAGATTGATTTTTATTGTTTTAAACTGTGTGTGTGTGTGTGTAAGTGTGGGTTTGTTCACATGCGTGCAGGAGCCCTCTCCTGCCAGGGGTATCAGGTTCCTGGAGCTGGAGCTGCATGCTGGGAGCCAAACTCAGGCCCTCTGCAAAGATGTACGTGATTTTAATCACTAACCTGTCGCTCCACCCCTCTCTTAATTCATTTTTTTGAGACAGGATATCACTATGTAGCCTTGGCTGGCTTGAAGCTCTCTATTTAGACCGGGCTGGCATCAAATTCACAGAGATCCATGCCTGCCTCTGCCTCCCAAGTGTGTGCGCCATATCACCCAGCTAGGCCCGGAACTTTCTCCTCCTGCCTGGAACCTTCAAAACTAGGCCACCAGACCCAAGCGCTCTCTCGTCATCTAAGTAAAGAAGGTTCACCCCACTCACCAACTTTCTACCCCCTCCAGGGAAGCTGACAGGAGTACTTAGCTGGCTCTTAGGGCTGGGAAGGCCGCTGGGTGGGCTGCTCACCGAAGCACTGGATACATTTCTCCAGCAGCTCATCTTCGCTGCAGCTGCCTTCGCTCAGCACCCCCAGACTCATGGAAGCCATAACCTTGATGATTTCCCGGGGGGTGGGGCACGTCTTGTGGCGGCGGGCCTGTCGTGGCCGACCCCGTCCTCCTGCCTTCCCAGAGCATTCCTGATGAGACTTCCTGTAGGTACACACACAAAAACCCCCACCGCAAAGCATCATGGGAGCCCCTTCCTCCAAGTACACTCCCAGAATTCCTCTTGGCCCCAATGCTTCTAGGTACCATGGACCAAAGTTCTTGTAGGGCAAGGCCCAGGGTTACCCACTAGGGACTCATGGGCGACAAACCCCAAAATAGTTCAGATGCCCCAGGCAATCATGATCAAAGACCCCAGACCAAGGGCCTTCCAAAAGCTCAGCTCCCTCCTCTAGGCATTGACTCATTCCTTGCATTGTTTTTGATGACTGTGTTTAAAGTCGGTGTACAAAAGACTGGGTTTCATTATGACATAATATGTATCATTGTACCTGTACCTTGCTCCTGTTTGTCAGCCATCTGCCCTCCCTCATCTCGTTGGTCCCTTCCCTTTCCCAAATATCATCATTCTGCTTTCATGTCACATATGTGTGTGTGTGTGTGTGTGTGTGTGTGTGTGTGTGTGTGCAAGTATGTGTGTATGCACATACTTAAATATAGGTTTCACATGTAAAGGAAAACACACGTAGTTGTTTGAGTGTTTTGTCTCTCTCGTTACCCTCTGTTATGGCCACCTCTCTTCAAGTTCTCTTGACGATACAGTCCCAAAGCATTACAGGAGAAATTTGTTGTAAGCAGACCCCCAGGATTCATCCTGAGTTTTCAGGGAACCCAAGACATGACCCTGGGACCAACTCCAGGGCACGCAAGGTATCCCATGAGTTGGCCTTCTGGCTCCTCCTGCCAGAGCCAGAATGACATCTAGAGTCTAGGAGTCACTCTTCTGCGGCCCAGGGAGGGAGCCGACTCATGTAGTCAGGCCTCTTGGAATCTATCCTGCCCCTGTAAGGCAGCAGACCCCTCATCCAAGCTCACCTTCACATGCACAAGAGTCTCAGCCTCTAGCCTGCTCCTCTACATTTGGAGCCCAGAGAGGAAGTACCAGAACTTCTCCTGGGCTCTTCAGAGGTAGGTAGGGTCCCTGGGGCCACAGCTGCTTCAAGGAAAGTTTAAAAATAACCTTTCCTGTCTTGTGCCTCCTTAGGTGTCTCTCCCAGGTGAGGAAAAAGGGGTGATGTGGAAGGAATGGAGGGAGGGGTTAGATTCTAGCCTTCAGAGTCATTCAGAACTGGGTTCGAGAAATTTCCCACGGCTGTGTGCCTTTTTATAAATTACCCAATGTCTTTCTAGCTCTTGGTTTCTTCCTATGAAAAAGTCAAGTCATCCTTGGATTTTCCCTGGGTGTTAACAAGTCTGGCTCCTCAAAGGGGTCCAGCTGGTGGGGGAGTAGACATTGAGATGTGGAGAGAAAGCTGTCTTGTAATTCTAGCTGCCTGGGAGATTGAGGCAGGGGGATTGCAAGTTTGAATCTAGCCTGGGCTACAGAGCAAGACACGATAAAAAAAAAAAAAGACAGGAGAAAGCAGCCAGGCTTCAGCATAGTGTGGGTGTGAAAAACACAAACAGGGACACCCTAAAATAAGTCTGTCATGTCCCCTGCAGCATCATAAGGGCTTAATGTAGCTGTTAAAGGCTGACTAATAATGGACATTTGCTGGGCACTAGGAAGCAACCCAAGGGCTGAGCACTCCGTAAACAATCAGTGTTTCTCAGGTGCCCACACCAAGTACCAAAAGCATCGCCTTCCTGGGCATTCCGTACAAGCACAACTTCTCAGGCCCCATGGCAGGCTCACGGAATCTAAAACTTTAGGGGTGGGTCCAGTGGCTTGTGCTTTCCTAGGCCTCCATGCCCCTCTAAAGTGGTACCCATGATAATTCTGACAGAAGCGGGAACTGAGACAGAGTAGTGGAGTAACTTACCTAAGGCCACACAGCCAGGAACCGAGGCACCTAGGATTCTCTCACTGTGTTGCTGAGCAGGAGGAGGGAACCCCTTTGATCATCAGGATCATGCTAGCCAGACTGGAGGGGACCCTGCACCATCTTTCCTTACGGGGACAGGAGGGCAGGCAACGCCAAAAGACAGAAGTCTATTTCCCCTCCTGCTGGCACAGGCGGCCACCTGACCCTTACCTGCAGAGCGGCAGCCCCCAGTAGCGTCTGGAGCAGCCAGGAGTAGTTTAAGAGGCAGGGAAGCTGCATAGACCTACGTCACAAACCTCTCTCCTGGGACACAGTCCTGCAGGAGCCTGGAGTTTCCAGTCCAGGGGGGCAGTGACCATAATAGGGGACAGGGAAGACCCCAGGGAAGACACAGGCAGCCAGCTGAGGGAGCTAGGGTGGAGGAAGGCAGGACAGCTCAAACTCCAGAGAGACAACAGCAATCACGGAGGCTCAGGTGTTCAGCTCCTGAAGCATCTCATCTCCCTGCCCCATGAGAGCCCCATCTGGGAGGAGTGGGGGTGTCCCTTCTCCTGTTGTCCCCCCAACCTCCTCACAGGCAGAGGTGCCAAGGCTTTGGCTCTCCCGGGTCTCCTTGGAGAGGGTCCTTTTACCTTTTGCTGTCTTTTCGGTTCATGTTTCTTGGAGGGGTGGGGGTCCTGACAGGAGTGTGATCCTGTTCCTTCTCTGGCCAGATTGTCAGCCCCCCTGGGAGCTGTGGCGTCCACAGTGTTTAGGAAGGAAAGAGGAACTGCCCCTCCCCACCCACCCCCAGGCCAGGGGGAAGGAAGAGGCTGGGGAGAGACCAAAGGCTCCCCTCCCCCCTCGTGGGGATCCCTGACTGCTGAGGTTTCCGGTGCTGCCTACCCCCCTCAGCTGTCTCTCTAGCTATCTCCTTATCTTTCCCCATCTGTCTCACACACACACACACACACACACACACACACACACACACACACACACACCACACCAGCTTTAAAAAGTGTGACTGATATTTATGTAAAAACACAGGCTCAAAGGAAAAGTCTGTATTTCTCTCTTTTTTTAATTTAATTTAATTTTTTAAAGTCAGACTTTCATGGAGCTCAGGCTGGCCTCGTACTCACAGTAAACTTCCTGCTTCAGCCTCCAGTATGCTAGGATTACAGGTGTGAATAGCATGGCTGGTTTGAAGGACACCATCTATACCTGGAAAACATTTTCATGGGTTTGTTTGTTTGGTTGGTTGGTTTTTTTTTTTGTAAAACCTTTATGTAGCACCTACTGTGTACCATCTACTTCTCTAAGGTTTTGGGGGGGTTTAGTTATTTATCTATTTTTTTTCTAAAGGTATACTCATCTTTCGTTGTGTTTTATTTTGACTTTTAATCATGTGTTTGTGTGGGGCTGCATGTGACTATGTGCTCACAAGTACTGGTACCCTTAGAGGAGGCTAAAAGCCTCGGATCCCCCTGGAGCTGAGTTCCAGGCAGTCGCGAGCCACATGGCCTGGGTGTTGAGGTCTTCCGCAGGAGCAGGGCAGCCCCTTGGTTTTCACTTTGATATTAACTCAGTGCACGGCACTGTTTTTTGTTGTAGATCAGACTGACCTCGAATTCTCTTTGTAGCTGAGGATAAACTTCCACCTCCATCTCCCAAGTGCTGAGATCGCAGCTGTGGCTCCCCATGCCTGATTCACACAGTGCTGGATCTGAACCTCGGGCTTTGTGTGTCCTAGGCAAGTCGTTATCAACAGAGCCGCATCCTCCACTCCCAAGGTTATCTTTTTATAAAAATGTTACTGATAGAGGTAAACCCTGAGCCGTCTCTCCAGCTCCTTCATACAGTTTTAAAACAGACAAAATGACTGGGTTTTGTTATTGTCTTGTTTTGTTTTGTTTTTTTTTCAAGACAGTTTCTCTGTGTAGCCCTGGCTGTCCTGCAACTACCTCTGTAGACCAGGCTGGCCTCTAACTCAGGGATCTGCCTGCCTCTGCCAGGATGACTGTTTCAAAGCCCTGTCCCTTTTCACTGCCCTCTTAGGCTCTGTGAACAGTACTATACACAATACATTATTCGGTTTTGTCTCCACCGTTTCCTGTATATATAATATAGTTTTGTACCCATGGAAACGGACTTTACTCTTGCGTATGTATGTTTTGTTCTTTTATCTAAATGTATCATGCTTGACATATTTTTAATTGAAGTACCAAAAAAAAGCACACACTGGAATTTAGGCTGAAGAGTTGTGACTGGCTGAGGAAACCCCTACGATGCTCACATCAAGGACAGGAGATCAGCTAGGCCTAGTGTTACACACCTCTAATCTCTAGTGCTTGAGGTGATGCTGGAGGATCGGGAGTTCTAGGTCATCCTCTGCTACTTGTTGAGTTTGAAGTCACCCTAATCTAAAGAGATTCTGGAAAAAAAAAAAAAAGCCAGGTGATGGTGGCACACGCACTCAGAAGGCAGAGGCAGGAGGATCTCCGTGAGTTTGAGACCAGCCTGGGCTACAAAGTAAGTTCCAGGACAGCCAGGGCTACATAGTAAGGCCCTGTCTCGAAAAACAAACAAAACAAGACAGCCCAATTGTGGTGGCTCACATACTTTTCATCCTAGCACCTTTGGTGGGGTCGGGGGAGACAGAGCTCTATGAGTTCAAGACTTACCTGGTCTACACAGCTCTAGACTGGGGCTACCTAACCCCACGCCTCAAAAGAATCCAAAACCAAAAATGTCAAATGACTCCGGAACGTTCTTAATCTCTCTTGGTGCCCTTGTCTTCCATCACCGCCTGCCACGGTTTATCTGCAGTCTCATTTGTAACAGAGTAGTTTTATCTGCTTTAAAACTGTTAAGGAGGGGCTGGAGAGATGGCTCAGCAGTCAAGAGCACTGGCTGCCCTTTCGGAGAACTGGAGTTCAGGTCGCAGCACCCACATCCCGTAGCTCACAACCATATGTAACTCCAGCTCCAAGGGGATCTAATGCCCTGGCCTCTAAAGATATTGGCACACACTCACGTACAGACACAAATGCCTGCACTTAATTAAAAAATAATAAAAACACATCTTAAAAAGCGCTGTTTGTGCGTGCCCTCACGGACTGTGTCAGGTTTCTTCCATTCATCTTTCTGCTTTTGTTAGTGTTACCATGTTATTCTATTTGGATACACGTCCCCGCTTTTTGTTACTGTGTTGCCTTTCATTGTGTGCTAGTGCATGATTGATTCATCAATTTTCTTACAATGGACAGCTGAGTTGCTTTATGGCTCTATTAAAACCAGTACATTTCAGGGCTCGAAGGATGGCACAGTGGTCCTCCAGAGCGCCCAAGTGCAATTCCCAGCACACACATGATGGCCCGAAACTGTAACTTTAGTTCCAGGGGATCTCTACTGGCCTCTGAGGAACCAAGCATGCACATAATAGACGCACATATATGCAGGCAAAACACTGATATGTATTGCCAGAAGAGGGCTGTTTTGTGTTCTGAGACAGGCTCGTGTAGCTTAGGCTGTCCTTGAACTTGCAATGTAAAAGAAGGATGGCCTTGAATGCCTGATCCTCCAGCCCCCACCTTCCAAGTGCTGGGGTTCCAGGTGTGTGCTCCCACTCCTCCAAATGCATTTGTTCTTACCACACCACAATGGAACCTAGAGCCTGCACATTCCAGTGGGTGCACTCCCACTGAGCCCTGATGGCACTACTCAAGCATTCCGCTCTTGGGGAACACAAAGCCTGCAATTCTGTAGGGCAGTTTCCAGGAGTAGAATAAATGGGCCATAGTAGAATGATTCTGCCAAACCTAGTACTTTAAGTGGGTTCAATGGAACAGCACTTTCAGGAGAGTATGTTTGATCCTTTCTTTTTCATTGAAAGCGTTCACCATTGGGCATCTTTTTACATAGCCAAGAAGGCCTACTTTAGTTCTCTCTTCAAATGAAGCGCCCTGGTTTGGTGCTCCCTCTCTTCACAGCTCTTTGCCTTCCCCTGTCTCCAGCAGTGCAGTCCTTCAACAATACAGAGCCCCGCCGCTTTCCCCCAGCACCAGCTTAGCCTCCAGTGTGAGAGTATCTCCAAGGCCCAGGGGTGCAGAAAAGACCCCAAAGAAGGAGGTGGGAGAGGGCCTTGGCCCTTGTGCATAAACACTCAGCCTTCAAGGCCCTCTGGATGACCATTCCCACCCCTAAGAATGCTCGTGACCACAAAGGAAGAGCCTCTGAGTCAAAGAGCAGAAACCCACAACGGGGAAACACGCATCTGATAGCATCAGCGTAGATTTCTTTCCACGAGGCACCACGGGACCAATATTAGCTGGCTGGAGGGGAAAGGTGTTTGTAATGTTAAAATTCCAGAAAGTATCTACAAGGTCAAAAGAACAGTTGTAAGTCAAGACACCAGGAGAGCAACTCCAACAGAAAATCAGCTGGCGGGATGATTCCTCAGGGCATAAGAAAGAGCACTTGCTGCCCAAGCATGAAGACCTGAGTTTGGATCCCCAGCACTCACATAAAACAGCTGGGTATAGGGCTGCAGAGATGGCTTAGCGGTTCAAACACTTTCACAGTGGTTTAGAGCCCTTATTGCTCTTGTGAAGGACCAGAGTTCAATATCTCCCTACCCCCAACCCCACACCCATGTCAAGTCATCCATAGTGGCCTGGAATTCCAGCTCCAGGGGATGCAGCATCCTCTTTTTGGCTTCCTAGGGCACCAACACAGATGATACACACACATACATTTTTTTTTTAAGCTGAGTGTGGTGACTGGAGAGATACTGTAATGGTTATAATGCATGTTGGGGAACAGCAAGCATGCACCGGTTTTGATCCCCAGAATCCACATACATGCTGGGTGGATACGGTAGCTTCCATGTGATTTCCAGAGCTCAGAAGGAAGAGTGTGATTCTCCAGCAAGCCTGCCATCTCACCACTTGGGAGACTGAGGCGGGAACGTCAGGTGTCTGAGGCTAGCTCAGGTTACACAGCTGTCACTGTCTCAGACGAGCCAGCCGTCAAAACTAAAAGGACAAGAAATAGACAAATAGGAAAACGGGAAAGTGGGCAAAGAGGACGATCAGGTTGCAGTGACTCCCAAATTTCTGACAGATCCCAGAGAAAACACTGGCAATCATTGACATCTGGCTAGTCACTAGTCAGTCTATAAATCTGTTAAACATTAGTAGTCAGGGAGCTGGGGCGACGGCTCAGCCAGTAAACAGCTCGCCACACAAGCGTGAGGACACGCGTTCAAGCCCCAGCATCCACCCAAGAAGCCAGGCGAGGCCTGCTCTAATGCCAGCGCTGGGGAAGCAGAGGGGTGGATCCCAGGGGCTTGCCGGCTGGCCACCCAGCCTATCCTGATGGTGAGCTCCAGGCCAGCTGAGAACAGTGCCTAAGCTGGTCTTTGTCCTCCACACACACGTGCACACATGCTCATCCACAGCAACGTGCACCCATGTGACCCCTACCTCTCACCATACAAATGAGAAGTTAGAAGATGCCAAGTGGAGGCTGGGAGATGGAGACTGGAATTTTTGCATGGTGACAGCCATGGTGAGAGCAGGCAGCCACTCCCCAGGCTGCTTAGAGGAATTGTGTATGTGGGTGTGTCACCTAGCAGTCTGGTTCTGGAGAGTGCATACCCAAATGGTGCCAACTCCATAAAAAGATGTCTCTCTTCACTTTTCCCACTATTGAGATATCTGATGCAAGTAACTTCTTAAGGAAGGGTTTGTTCTGGTTCTACTGTGAAGGTCCTGACCACCATTGCGGGAGCAGGAGGCAGCTGGTCATGCTGCATTCGAAAGCAGGACACAGAGAGAAATGAATGCTGCTCTTCAGCTTGTTCTCTCCTTTTTATTCATTTGGAGACACCGAATCTGTCTTCCTCAGTTAAGCCATCTGGAAATGCCGTCCCGGACACTCCTGAGGCCTCTTGGCCTTCCTAAGCATTCCCAAATCCAGTCAAGGTGACAATCTGCATTTACCATGTCATGTGACACCTGCAAGGACAGTTAGAGGAGCCAGAGGCAGCTTCGGTGTCCACCCCAAGGGAAGGGTGGATAAGCAGAAAGGGACCTGTCACCAAGAAGTCCCTCGAAGCCACCACGGCCATCCACCAGGTGTCCAGAAAGCAACAGGGAAAAGCCTTGACACATGTAGTGATGACTAAAGAGCTAAGAAACACTATTCCTATCCTATGATATAATGAATAGCTCCACATTCTGTACAGAACATTTAAGGAAGAAATACCACACAGCTATATAATATATGAAGTACAACACAAAATTATATTGTACCTATAATAAACAATATATATAAAACTATGTTATAGATATAATAACATATATAAACAATATATATATAAAACTAGATAATGTACTGGATTATATCATTTAATAATGCAATATAACTTGTTAATCTCAGCACTCAGGAGGCAGAGGCAGATGGATCTCCATGAGTTCAAATCTAGCCTGGTCTACAAAGCAAGTTTGAGACCATCCAGGGCTGCACAGTAAGACTCTATCTAAAAAAAATGTAATACAGCCGGGCGGTGGTGGCGCACGCCTTTAATCCCAGCACTCGGGAGGCAGAGGCAGGCGGATCTCTGTGAGTTCGAGGCCAGCCTGGGCTACAAAGTGAGTTCCAGGAAAGGCGCAAAGCTACACAGAGAAACCCTGTCTCAAAAAACCTAAAAAACAAAACTAAACAAAAAAAAAAATGTAATACAAACTTAAGATGCCATTTCATACAAGTGTATCATTACCAGTGTTTAATAAGCAACACCCGCATTGGAAAACACTTCATTATAGTTTTGTTGAACTACAGAATACTGGTTTTAATTGTGTGTGTGTTCATGTATGTTACTGTAGGTGTACATGCTGCAGCGTATGTATGGAGGGCAGAGGACAACCTCAGCGTCATCCTAACTTTCTGCCTTGGTTGAGGCAGGGTCTCTTCAATGTTCACCTCTACACACAGGCTAGCAGGCCAGCAAGCTCTGGAGATTCTCAGCCTCCACCCCCGCCTCATGGTCCACCCCTCTCTCATGGTCCACCCCCGCCTCATGGTCCACCCCCCTCTCATGGTCCACCCCCGCCTCATGGTCCACCCCCCTCTCATGGTCCACCCCCCTCTCATGGTCCACCCCCCTCTCATGGTCCACCCCCCTCTCATGGTCCACCCCCCCTCATGGTCCACCCCCCTCTCATGGTCCACCCCCCCTCATGGTCCACCCCCCTCTCATGGTCCACCCCCCTCTCATGGTCCACCCCCCTCTCATGGTCCACTCCCCTCTCATGGTCCACCCCCCTCTCATGGTCCACCCCCCTCTCATGGTCCACCCCCCCCATGGTCCACCCCCCTCTCATGGTCCACCCCCCCTCATGGTCCACCCCCCTCTCATGGTCCACCCCCCCTTATAGTCCACCCCCTCTCATGGTCCACCCCCCTCTCATGGTCCACCCCCCTCTCATGGTCCACCCCCTCTCATGGTCCACCCCCCTCTCATGGTCCACCCCCCCTCATGGTCCACCTCCCCCTCATGGTCCACCCCCCCTTATAATCCACCCCCCATCATGGTCCACCCCCGCTCTCATGGTCCAGGCAATGGGATTACAGCTGCTTGCTGCAGTACCCTGATTTTATGTGGGTTCTGGGGATTTGAAAGCAGGTCCTTAGGAGCTGGAGAGATGGCTTAGTGGTTAAGAGCACTGACTGCTTTTTCAGAGAACCTGGGTTCACTTACCAGAACATACATGTCGGCTTACGACTAGCTGTAACTCCAGTCCCATGGGACCTGCAGCCCTCTTCTGGCCTCAAACAAACAAACAAACAAATAAATAAAATCAGCCCCTCAAGCTTGCTCAGCAATCATACCATCTCCAAAATATTGTTTTGTCTAAATATGCTAGCTGAGGGTTTTATTATTGAATTATATATCCTCAGTCATTTGTTTATTTAGGTTTTTTTGTTTTGTTTTGAGACAGGGTCTGGCTGTATGTAGAGCAGGCTGGCCTTGAACTCACAGAGATTTACCTGCCTCTGTGTCCCTAGTGCTGGGACTAAAAGGCATGGGCCTACGCCCTTTTTAAAAGGTGTATAAATACACATTTTATTTGTTTGAAACAGGGTTTCATGTAGCCCAGGCTGGGCCTCTAACTTGCTACATATCTGGGGATGAGCTTGAAGTCTTGATTTCCCTGCCTACACTCCGAGGGCTGGGATCACAGCCATCCACCATCAGGTCTGGCTTGTATATATGGTGCTGGGGACTGAACCCAAGGCTTGCACATACTAGGCAAGTCCTCTACTAATCTAACCCCACCCCTGCCTTAGTTTATCTGTCAGATTTATTTAACGCCAAGTGTATGGGCATTTGGCCCGGTGCCTGAGGAGGTCAGAAGTGGGAATCAGATCTCCTGGAACTGGAGATACAAGTAACTGTAAGCCACCATATGGGTGCTAGAAATGAAACCCAGGTCATCTGCAAGAGCAGATGTGCTCCTAATTCCTGAGCCATCTCTCCAGCCCCTAAAAACAATTTAAATTACATTAAAAAATGTGGTGTGTGTGTGTGTGTGTGTGTGTGTGTGTGTGTGTGTGTGTGTGTGAAGAGGTTTCCTATGCCTTGTGGAGGTCAGAGGTCAACTTACAGGAACCCTTCTTTCATTCTATTCTGTGGGTCCTGGGGTCACATTCAGGTCGTCAGTCCGGGGGGCAAGCGCTCCCACCAGCTAGCCGTCTTGTTGGCTCTTATTTACTTTATTTATTTTTTGAGAAAGATGATCATATATAGGTTTGTCTGGCCTGGAACTCCTGGCTCTTACTTTTTGCTTTTGAGACAGTTTCATGTAGCTCAGGTTGGCCTGAAATGTACTATGTAACTAGGACTGATCTTGAACTCCTAATCTTTTCACCTTTACTTCCTAAATTGGGGGATTTCAGGCATGTGCCACCACACGGCTAAATTAGAAAAGTCAAATGCAAATATGGAGATGCCAAAGGCTAGCTGCCAGGAACCCCACATTTAGGTCCAGATCCCCAGGTCAGCACAAGGTGCCTGACTCCAGCTCCCAAACTCTGTCTTCAGACTTGGCACTGTGAGTGTGGTGGAAGTGTGACCCCCAAAGGTTGCTGTGAGGACTACAGGACATTTAGGAGGTCTCTGCAGGGGCCACGTGTTTTATTTTCTGCTGTTAAGGACGCCAATAATAGCAGGGTTGTGAGACATGAGTGATAATAAAAAGATCTTAGCTCACACCTGAAATGCAACAGGTGGGAAAGAGACACCAGCTGGGACGATTTCAAAAGGCAGTTTTTAGTTCAGAGGCGGGGACGCATTTCTGTGATCTCAGCACTAGGGAGGCAGACGCTGGGGGATGTCTGTGAGTTTGAGACCAGCCTGGCGGACAGGCAGACAGACAGACAGACAGACAACACACACACACACACACACACACACACACACACACACACACACACACACACACGTTGTTTTGAGATAGGGTACCATGCAGCCCAGGCTGGCCTCTAACTTGCTATGTAGCTGAGGGTAACTTTGAGGTACTGATCCTCTTGTCTCCAACTTTCTGAGCGCTGGGATTACAGATGTGCACAGTCACACCCAGTTCACGTGCTGGAACCCGGGTTTTTGTGTAAACTAGACAAGCACGCTACTAAGAAAGACGCACCCGGAGCCCTGCTTTCGTTTCTGTTCTGAGACAGGGTCTTATTATGCAGCATTAGCTCCAAATCTGCAATCCTTCTGCCTCAGCCTCTGCAGAGCTTGGGTGACAAGCGCGTGCCACGATGACGGGCCCGAACTGTGTGTGTGTTTTAAGTTAGTAGGTGTGGTGTGCATCCAGGCACAACCGTGAGATTACGTAGCAAGGGTAAACCCTTAGTTCACCCATTAAGAAATAACAGAACTAGGACGGGAATGTAGCCCAATGGCAGAATGATTACCTGCCATTCACACCGTCCGGGGTTTGAACCACAGCACTACATGAATCAGATGTGGCCACAAGTTCAAGGTCATCCTTGACTACAAATGCAGTTTAAGGCCAGCCTGAGGTACATAAGACTCTCAGAGAGAGGGAGGGAGGGAGAGAGATAGATAAGTGACTAAATAAATACATACATGACAGACAGAACTATGGCATCTCACAGTGACTGTGGCCACTGAGCTACTTTCTAGACACCCGCACCACGGGGAGCGAACACCTTCCACAGTTTGTGCTGTGGGCGGGGTTCTGGACAGGGGCGTGGCCCATCCATCCTGGCCCAATGGGTGTCACGGGGGCGGGGACCTCCTTGCATCTGGGTCCCGCACCAGTTCGCTTCCTGCAGTTCCATCTACCTCGCGGGTGCCTCTGGTGTCCCTAGAGGTCTCCGACCCCAGCCCTCCCTCAGCCCACCCGCCCAACCTGCAGCCCCCTCTCGCCACCCTCAGACCCTAGCCCGGGACAACGGGGGATTGCCATCATGGGTGATGGAGGAGGAGAAGGCGAGGACGAAGTCCAGTTTTTGCGGACGGTACGTTTTGTCTGGGTTAGGAGGCTTTGTGGGAATTTCTCGCTGACCTCTTAGAATCTCTCTGTCTCTGTCTTGCTTGCTGGTGGTCTCTGAAATCCGAGGTCACTTTGGGTGGCTGTCACTTCGTCGTGTCTGTCTTTTCTCGTCACTTTTTTGGCCATAGAGAATTAGCAGGATTTGGGAGGACTGAGTGGGGAGGGGGAGATCGATCCTCAGTTGCCCTCTCCTGACAGGAGAGATTTGGGGTCACTGAGGGAGGACCCCCTCCTGCCATCCTGGAAGCAGGCACTTGAGGAAGGTGGTTCTAATTCTTGGGCTTAATTTAGCTGTCCTCCACCCCCACCCTAGCCCTGTTCCCTTCTTGCTCCAGGCTCTGACCTATTTAAATTCTTGGGAAGGGGGCTGGGGTGGGCTGGACGACACTTTCTCTTCAACTCCTAGCCTTCGGTGGTCTCCTTGGGGGTCGCTTGGATCTTGAATGTTCTTTCCTTGGTTTTGGTGAGGGTAATCATGTCTGCTAAGACTCTGAGGGTGTCTGGGTGATGTCTCCCCCATCTCCTTGGTATGTCTTGTGGTGTCTCGGTCTTTTGTCCCTTGGCTTCAGCCCTCTGAGTTTTGCTGTCCCTCTGGTCCTGTCTCCCTGAATCTCTGATCCCCAGCTGGGGGCAGGGATGGGACTTGGAACAACAGGTGTCTCTCCCAGAATAGCCCTCTTTTCTGGGCTCTGGGCAGGGGACAGGGAGGGACAAAAGGGGGAGGGGCTGCCTCTTTCTTAGTCCTTCATGCCATACCCTCCTAGGGGCTGAGATGGAGGTGGGTATCTGAGCCTGGGAGATGGTCTCTCTTTCAGGCCAGGTCTGCTGACCCTGCACTGTCCCTCTCCCCTAGGCCCCGGTCCATGCAGAAATGCTGACGCAGCATTCCTGACCCAGAATAGGACCCTGGCAGGCTGGGTCCGGTTTCTTGGGAGGGAGGAACAAACAGCTGGGACTGGTAATGAAGGATGGCGACAGCTGGATATGAAGCCACTGGAGGAGGGCCTCTCCGCAGCCCCAGCCCCTTAGCCTACACCGTGGGTTTGGCCTTCCACAGCCTAATAAGCCCATGGCTGTGGCTACCGGCTCCTGAGCAGTCACTCTGCTCCAGGCCCAGTGCCCAGGGCCTCAGCCTCCAGAGGCATCTAATTACATTCTCACTGCCCTATCTTCTGAGGTAGGGCCCTATCTTTATCTCCCTGGGAGGTTTGAGGGAAACCAAGCCCCAAGTGGTAAACTTGCCCAAGGTCAAGGCCAGGAAGTGGCATCTCTGAGTGCCCAGGAGGCAAAGTCTTGCTTTTACCAGGGGGAATCTAGGCCCAGGCTTGCCAGGGTAGACGGTGTCAGGCCAGGCTGGCCTAGGCTCGGTCGGTCTGTTTTCCTCAGTGTTATTGAGGTTGTGTGGTACCTTCTTCAAAAAAAAAAAAATCTCTTTAAAAATCATATCCCACTTATAAGAAAGAATCTGTATTGCAACCCAGGGTGCATTGGGTTGTACCTACATATTCATAGGTACTATTAAACAAAAAGAAAATTCCAACTTTAAAGCAGGGTGTGGTGGTATACACCCATGGTTCCAGCGTTCAGCAAGCCGAGGCCGGAGGTCTGAAAGTCCAAGGTCAGCCTGGGCAACACTCAAGACCCATCAACTTGGTGGCATAGTTGACAAGCAGCAAATTTTACCGATTGAAAACAGTTAACAAACCTCAGCACTTTTCTGAGAGGGGGCAGTGTTGGGGAGGGTTTCGTGTACCGAAGCTGGCTTTAAACTTGATACACAGCCGAGGATGACCATGGACTCCGGATCCTCCTGCCTCCACCTCCCAAGGGCTGGACTTACAGGCATGTGCCACCATGTCTGGCTTCAGTGGGCTCTGAAAAAGTATGCAAACCAAGTAATCACCGTCATAATCGAGGCAGAGAACACTTCCGCTACCCCAGAAAATCCCTCCTGCCCTTTGCAGCCCCCCCTGTCCTTCCGTCATCACACAGACCCCACTAGTCACCACTAGAATTTCACGTACAGTGTGTGTGTTCATTTCTCTCTTACTGCTTAGGATATTTTTGAGAAGTAGCATGTATCTAGCCTTTTGAGTGGAGCTTATTGGTATCCTGTTTTACGACTATATTGCAGTTTGCCTGTATCTTCACTTGCCTGGTGCACACTGAGGTAGTCACATCTTCAATACTACAGACAACCCCAGTAAACATTCACACTCACTTTGCGTAGCCCTGGCTAGCCTAGAACTCCCTATGTAGGCCAGACTGGCCTCAAATTCACTAAGATCTACCTGCCTCTGCTTCCCTAATACTGGGATTAAAGGCACGGTCACACACACCTGTTTTTGGGGAAGTGGTTTGAGAGAGGGTTTCATTGTGTAGCCCCAGCTGTCCTGATACTCACTCTGTAGACCATGCTGGACTTGAACTCACAGAGATCCACCTGCCTCTGCCTCCTGAGTGCTGGCATTAAAGACATGAACAACCATATCTGTCTTTGCACACCTATTTTTAATAACAACTTTCATAACATGTCATTCACCTTGATATCAGACTGGGCATGTTATTTTCTTCTTCGTGTTCTATTTTCTTTGATATTAAGGGTGCTGGCAATAGCCCTCCAGATCACTTCCCTTGTTTTGAATATAGTGACCTCTACCTCTGCCTACACTGGGATCTCTCAGGATCTGGTTAGGTCAGAACCTCCAGAGGTCAGGGGCCTGGTTATAAGTGCAGGTTCTCTGCGGACCCCAGAATAACTGAGTTAGGTTCAAGGATGAGGGTGGTGGTACTGGGGTGCTGGGGCACAAGGAAGCTGGCTTTTTTCATTTGTTTGTTTTTTTGAGACAGGGTCTCATATAGCTCAGGCTGCTCTTGACCTTGAATTCCATGTCCTCCTGCCTCTACCTCTAAAACATTTGGAATAATTAATAGGCATTGTACCACCATGCCTGGCTTTGGAAATTGCACTATTTTATTGTATTGTATTGAATTGTATTTTCTGTTCTTCTCTGTCCCTCATCTACCAATTATCTACTCACTTAGTCATCTATCTCTCTCTCTCTCTCTCTACCTCTCTACCTACCTACCATCTAACTATCATCTATCTATCTATCTATCTATCTATCTATCTATCTATCTATCTATCAATCATCTATCTATCTATCTATCTATCTATCTGTCATCTATCTACCTACCTACCTATCTACCTATCATCTATCATCTATCTATATCTACCTATTTATCATCTATCTATCTATCTATCTATCTATCTACCTACCTATCATCTATCTATCATCCATCTATTTATCTATCATTTCTCTCTCTCTATCAATCATCTATCTACCTACTACCTATCTATCTATCATCTATCATCTATTTACCTATTATCTATCTACTTATATATCTATCTACCTAGCTATCATCTATCTACCTATCATTTATGTATCTATCATCTATCTACTATATATCTACCACCTATCTTCCTTCCTTGCTTCCTTCTTTCTCTCTCTCTCTTTCTCTTTCTCTCTCTCTCTCTCTCTCTCTCTCTCTCTCTCTCTCTCTCTTTCTTTCTTTCTTTCTATCAAGATAGGGCCTTGCTATATTATCCAGGCTGGTCTTGAACTCCTGGACCCAAGTGATCCTTCTATCCCAGCTTCTGGAGTGATGAGAGTACAGGTATGCATCATTTCAACTGGTTTTGCAAGCAGCGTTTAAAGCCAGGTTCCTCCCCCTTCCCTCTCATGCAGGAGAGGGTGGGCGTCAGTACTGTGTGATTAGGTTTGCTATAATGATCATATTCCCGGTTCTCATTACATCCTGGTTTTGCCATTCACTTGCTCTCTCTGCTTGGGAAAGTGATTTTAATTTTTTTCTCTAGCTCAGTTTCCTCATCCGGAAATGTGGAGAGAGAGGGAGAGAAAAAAAAAAACAAAAACAAACAAACAAACAAAAACATCCACTAAGGACTCCAAGGGCCCATCTAAGTGTCTCTCTGACCTCAACGCATCCCTCATCCCTGCTGGTCCCATCTCACTTTCCATTCCTCGACACCCCTGCACCCACTGGCCACAGGCCTTTGCATAGGCTGCCTCTCTGGAACATTCCCCATAGATGACCAGTCCTGCTTCTTTTCTATGTGGACAAGGCTCAAAGGTCAAAGGTCATCTTCTTGGAGCGGCTATATGTCACTCCCCCCCTTACTGATGCTTTCTTTGCCTTAATACCACCCTGTTATATCAGTCTGGCTTATGTTGTTCTAGAACGCCTACCACTAACAATAAACTTATGTATTTACTCACCTGTTTATGCATGATCTACGAGTAAGGATATCAGCTCCTTGGAGGCAAGGCTTCTCTACTTTATTCAATGCTGTGTATTCAGTGCCTAAAACAGTGCCTGGCAGGCACCTCAATAAGTGTCTGTTAAATGAATAAAAGACATAAGCATAAGACAACCAGTAAATGCTTGCTAAATAGTGTTCAAGTTATAGAATTACTACAGATACCGAGATGCCCAGCATGTACCAGCATGCCAGAGATACCAGGACAGAGCAATTATCATTAGGCCATGCTTCTGTCCCCTCCTGGGTCGGGCAAATGGATTGAAGACTGCCCATGTGAATTGACACTCAGGATAAGAACATGTCTATCTGACATGCTTGGGAGTTTGGAGGTCATGTGATTTCTGGCAGGATATGTTACCTTCTTTAAAAATGTTTTCTTACCTTTGTTTTATGTGTATAGGTGTTTTGTCTGCATGTGTGTCTGTGTACTACATCAATGTAGTGCCTTTAGAAGTGGAGGAAGGGGGGCTGGAGAGATGGCTCAGTGGTTAAGAGCACTGGCTGCTCTTGCAGAGGTCCTGATTTCAATTCCCAGCAACCACATGGTGGCTCACAACCATCTATAATGAGATCTGGCGCCCTCTTCTGGCCTGCAGGCACACATGTAGGCAGAACACTGTATACATAATAAATAAATAAATCTTTAAAAAAAAAAAAAAGAAGTGGAGGAAGGTATTGGGTTCCCTGGGACAGGAATTACAGATAATGTAGGTGCTGGGAATTGAACCTGGGTCCTCTGGAAGAGCAGCCAGTGCTCTGAACTACTGAGCCATCCCTCCAGTTCCATTTCTAACTTTCTTGAACTAGTTTCCTCTGCTACAGAATTTGCTGGGCATAGTGGTATACCCCCGGAACCCCAGCATTTGGAAGGTGCAGGCGGAAGTGTTAGGAACTCAGTGTCATCCTTGGCTACAAGGCAAATTTGAGGCCAACCTGGGCTACATGAGACTCTGCTGCCAAAACAAAACTGCTGGGAGGTGGTGTTGCACGCGCCTTTAGTCCCAGCACTCGGGAGGCAGAGCCAGGCGGATCTCTGTGAGTTCGAGGCCAGCCTGGTCTACAGAGCGAGATCCAGGACAGCAGCCAAAGCTGCACAGAGAAACCCCGTCTCGAAAAAACCAACAAAACAAAAACTAAACAACAACAACAACAACAAAAACAAAACATTTAATTTGTAAGAAAGTTGATACTTTCCACAGTCCACTGTGTCACTTTGCAGAACCCTCGTTAGGAGAGGAGCTAGATTTTGATTCTAATCCTAACTCCTCTTACCCCATGTGAAGCCAGGCGTGGAGACACACCAGTAACTCCAGCTACTCGAGGGCCTGAGACAGGAGTATCTCATGATCCTGGGAATTCAAGGCAAGCCTGAGCAAATTAGGGAGACGCTGTCTCAAAAGAAAAATGAATGAATGAGCGAACAACCAACCAACCAAATAGATCAATAAATGGAGTCTGGCTGGTGTGGCGTGTATCTTTTCTACAAGGGGAAAGAGACAGCTCCAAGGCACGCAGAGGCTTTGCTGGTCCCGCCGGTGAACCTTGTCCCTCTGTTCTCCCAGGATGACGAGGTGGTCCTGCAGTGCAGCGCCACGGTGCTCAAGGAGCAGCTCAAGCTGTGTCTGGCCGCTGAGGGTTTCGGCAACCGCCTCTGCTTCCTGGAACCCACCAGCAACGCGCAGGTCTGTGTGCACCAGGCGCGGAAGGAGGGGCAGGTCGGGAGGGCAGGGTTTTGAGTCCTAAAAGGAAGGCTCTGGAGCCGGAAAGGGGGAAGCTGACAGGAGGGAGTGGGAGGGGCTAAAATGGGGAAGGGGCGTGGCCTGAGGTGGGACGGGAGGAATCTGAGACTGGTAGAGTCTGAAATGGGCGGATTGTGAGGCGGGGCCTGAAGGGGCGGAGCCCGAGATGGGGGCGGGGTCTAAGGAGGGGCAGAATCTGAGATGGTGGAACCTGGCTCGAAGAATAAAAGGCGATGCCAGAGGTGGGGAGAGACTTGAGGTAGGGTCTCTGGAGAGAAAAGGGCGGGGCCTGAGGTGGGGGTAGAGTCTAATGTGGAACAGGGTCTCAGGCAGGTGGAGAGGGGATTGAAGAGTGAAAGGAGGCGGAGCCTATGGTGGGGGCGGAGTCTTAGGTGGGTGGCAAGGTGTGAAAGGAAAGTGAATGAGGGGAGGATTCCTACGGGCACAGAGAGCGGAGGGTCTTGGGAAGGAGGAGCAAGGATCAAAGGAGGAGGAGAACTAGGCAGTTTAGAGGAAAGGGGACCTAACAGGAGAGGACAGGGGCAAGAGATGGAAAGAGTGTGTGGCCTTAGACAGCAAGGGTCTGAGAAAGGGCTCTAGACATGGAGCGAAGTTAGAATCTGAAAGGCAGGTGACTTTGGAATCAAGAGGGTCCAGGCGTCCAGGAGAATTTTAGCAAGGGTTTGCAGGAGGGCGTGGAGGCCAAGAGGCCAGAGAAGCCTGAGGTCCCAGGGTGAGGTATACTCAGGGTGTGAGAGAGGAAGGGACCTGCAAGGAGCGCCTGGGGACTGAGAGGAGATGGCCTCTGGTGGAGGAGGTCACCAGACATCTGACCGGCAGGGAGTTCAGGAACCTGAGGGGACAGTGTGTCTATCTCCCTGCGGTATGACTGGAAAGGCAGGGATGAAGGCTAGAAGTGGTGTTCTTCTAGGACTGGAGAGATTTGGGGTGATTTGCAGGAGCTTCCTGCAGAGGGAGCAGGGTCAGTGTGATGAGCCAGTCAGAGGGCATCCTATGAGACCAAGGGGCATGAAACAGTTGAGTGACATAGGTGATCTGGAAGTTTCTGTGGAGTTGGATGAGTTGGAGGAATTTGAAGGAGGAGACTGAAAGGTGTTTCCTGTGATTTTGATGTTTCTGATGCCTGGCTGGGGCCCCTTGTGGGGTGAGGGTGGGGTCTGGGTGTCTGGAAGTGTGACTATTCAGGTTAAGGGACAGACAAGGCACAGTGGGGAATGGTGCATGAAAGTCTAATGACCCGAGTGATGTTTGTTGACCCCACCTCAGAATGTACCCCCTGATCTGGCCATCTGCTGCTTCGTCCTGGAGCAGTCCCTGTCAGTTCGAGCCCTACAGGAGATGCTGGCCAATACTGTGGAGGCTGGTGTAGAGGTAAGGCTCCCCCTCCAAGGAGCAGGGAACAGGGACAAGGATGGATGAGGGGGCCTGTGGGTCATTCACCATATGCTCTTCTTCCTCTCTCTGCCCTGCCCCCGACAGGCCCTCAATTTGGATAAGTGGGTAGGTCTGGCCTTGGGTGTCATGTTTTTCCCATCACTCCCGACCCCAGGCCTGCTGCTCAGGCCCACATCCTGAACACAGGGGCTGGAGGATTTCCCCCACCCCAGATGTCAGGGGCTGTGGAGCCCAGAACAAGCCAGGCAGGAAGGAAGGAGGGAGCAAGGGGCTTCTGAGCCCCTGTTCCCTGGCCCATTCCTTTCTCTTCTTTTCTATCCTCCTCCCCAGCCTGCCCGTCACTGCATGGGACCTCTTCCCTCACTTCCCTCCATCCCAAGTGTGGGTCTGCCATAGGACCATGTGGCTCCATGACTTGGCTCCCTCAGAGCATGGGCATGGGAGAGCCATGATGGAGGCATGATGCCATCAAGGAATTGGATGTACCTCCCTCCTCCAAAGAGCCAAGTCTTCTCATGCATGGGAGTGTGTGGCAGCACTAGGGAGTCACTTTATCCCAGTGACTGAGAGTCATGTGACAAGCAATAGTTAAGACTGTGCTGTGCCAACAGGCTATGGTTCAGTTCTTTTATGACAGGCTAGAGTAAATGGGATACTGGGGTTCTCTTGAGTGTCCTTAGTCACCTGGAAGATTCATACACCTTGGGTGATGTCAGGACCTGGTTTATAAGAGGAAAGAGGCAGGATGGCAGAGTGGGTTTTGTAGTTTCTGTTTTGTTTTTATAGAACCTCATGTATCCCAGGCTGGCTTCAAACTCTCTAAGTAGCTGAGGCTGACCTTGAACACCCGATCCTCTTGCTTCTGCTTTCCAAGTGCTAAGATCACAAGCTTCTGGGTCTTGGGGAATATAAAACACTCCATGTCTAGGTTTCTCAGAGACAGCCTCTGCTTCTACAGATGGGAAAATGGATGCAGGCAATATGTTGGGTGTTTGAGCATTTCATGGGGTTCATATATCCACCTGTGAATAAGCCATATGTTTCGGAAGGTGCTAGAAATCTGGGCATCTGTGCTTACTCTGCACCGTCTCTTCCCCGGTAGTCATCCCAGGGCGGGGGACACAGGACACTCCTGTATGGCCATGCCATCCTGCTCCGGCACGCACACAGCCGTATGGTGAGTACATTACCCATGGATGCAGGCGAAGGAGAGGGTTCAGGCCTCCCAGGAGGCTGACCTCACTCTCCCACCGTAGTACCTGAGCTGCCTCACTACCTCCCGATCCATGACTGACAAGCTGGCTTTTGACGTGGGGCTACAGGAAGATGCGACAGGTACAGGGGCTGTGGGCAGGGAGCATGGTGGGCATCCCAAGTCAGAGAACGGAAAGTATGCACAACTCGACAGGCGTGCATGAGGCTGCACTGGAGCCAGGAAGAGGGGCCTGGGCACGGAGGGTCTGAACAGATGGGTGGACACATTCTATACAGGAAGACGAGGTGGGAAGTTGGCGGTGCAGCAGGGGATTTATAGAGGGTCTGGAAGGCTCAGTGGCTGTGAGTACCCTGGGGAAGAGCATTGTGGGAAACCATTATCCTGACAGTCACCCCACTCATAGGAGAGGCCTGTTGGTGGACGATGCACCCTGCCTCCAAGCAGAGGTCTGAAGGAGAGAAGGTTCGTGTTGGGGATGACCTCATCCTTGTGAGTGTCTCCTCTGAGCGATACCTGGTGAGTAATCCCATCTCCCTGAGGGCTCCTGCTGCTCCTGTGCGAGTGCATGGGATTTACCCCATCTCTCACCATTGGCTGGCCCAGTGGGTGTCTGGCCCCCAGTGTTCTGACTCACAACTCCTGATTGTCTGATATCCTATAGTTCTGATCACCATCCCTCCCTGCGTTTCCTAACTTGCTCTCATTTGCCTGATCTGTGACCTCCAACTCCCTGCCTCGATTCTGTCTGGTGTCTCCCTTTGATTATTTCCTACTGGCTCTCAACTCTTGTTAATTCCATTGTCTCTGACCACCACACCTTGGTTGCCCCCAGCACCTGTCGACCGCAAGCGGGGAACTCCAGGTTGATGCCTCCTTCATGCAGACTCTGTGGAACATGAACCCCATCTGCTCTGGCTGTGAAGAAGGTGAGGATCCCAGGCTTCTGGCCCCTAAGATGAGGCCATCAAAACAGATCCTCAGTGGTGCTTCCTCAGACATGCCCAAACCGGATCTTGGGATCTCACGCTTCAGATCTTCCAGTTATGGCTTTCACAGAACATTTCTTACTGACTCCAAAGCCGGATTCACTACCACTTCCAAACTCAACCCAAAGCTTCCATACCAAGTGCAGTCCTTGAGGTCAGACTCCTACACTCAGAACTCACAGCTTAGAGCAGTAATTCTCAACCTTCCTAATGCTGTGACTCTTTAATACAGTTCCTTATGTTGTGGTGACCCCCAACCATAAAATTATTTTCATTACTACTTCATAACTGTAATTTTGGTCTGTTATAAACCATAATGTAAATATCTGATATGCAGGACATCTGATATATAACCCCTGTGAAAGAGTTATTTGACACCAAGGGGTCGTGATCCACAGATTGAGAACCACTGGTTTAGAGCATCAACCCACAAGCTTAATCCTCAGACTTCAGTTCTCAGATAGAAGCACAGACCAAAGCCCTGAAATCTAAACCTCAGATCCTAAATCAGGATCCCTGCTCAGACCTCATGCTACCAGCCTTGGACTCTCAAAAAAGTTTTAATTGAAGTGTGTGTGTGTGTGTGTGTGTGTGTGTGTGTGTGTGTGTGTGTGTCTGGGCATGCCCACCTGTGTAAAGGTCAGAGGATAACTTTTGACCTTTCGCTATGTAGGGCTTGAAGATTGAACTCAGGTTGCCGGGTTGATGTCTGGTGCCATTACCACCTTCCTGACTCCAGACTCCCAAATTTTAATTTCACTCTCAAAAACCCAAAATCAAACTCCGGCACTCACAAAAACAAACAAACAAATAAATAAAATAAAAAACAAAACAAACAAACAAACAAACCAGAAAACAGGGCTCGTGGCGGCTCTGCAGTTAAGAGCACTGGCCCTTCTTCCCAGATGACCCGAATTTGATTCCCAGCTCCCACACGGTGGCTCACAACCATCTGTAACTCCAGTTCCGGAGGATCCAACACCATCTTCTGACCTCCGTGGGCACCAGGCCCACAAGTGGTACTGGTACTCACTCGGGCAAAACACCAACACACATAAATAAACAAACACCAAAACCCCAGGGCTGGGGAGATACCCCATCACTTACATTGAAAAGGCCAGGTTCAGTGTCATGGACCTACATGTAATCCCAGTGTTGGGAGGGCCAGGCCAGAGGACCCTTGGGGTTT